GAGGTCCCCGTTCCAAAATTTCACCCAAGCGTTCCCGAATCCATTGGACGGGACGTTCTCGATAAAATATCGTGAAAAACGTTAATCAGACCCAAGAAGCAATTTGCAAGATCAGTCCGCAAGGACATCTCCCAAACCGTGGGCGGGACGTGTCGCAAAAACGCCCACCTAATACTCGCATGCTCTCGAAATGCCCGCAAGATATACTCGAGAGCGAGATCATCTCGGATAATCCGGCGCCGTCTACAAGATTTCCTCATAAAAAGGTGCAAAGCTAAGGAGAAATTATTCCGCGCCGTGCATTCGGTATTCAGATGTCGTAATTCGTTACATCAACCTCATCGCTCTTTATTACTCATTTTCAATAAATTTCGAAACTTCCTCCACGGCCCAAAGCAGCCAGAAATGTCCCTCCATGCCGAACAAGTTTATTCGTGACATACTAAAAATATTAATCCCACGTCCACATATCCTGTTTCGTTGCCAGCGTCAATCGTAATGCTCGTACGAGAAATTTTCATAAATTACTAAAATCATCGGCGCCCTTTAAAGGGACCTTTTATTCATACCTTAATCTCCATCCCTTCATCCCTACCTATCTTCGGTCCTCGAGCTTTACATCGCGAAAAACGGAATACTCTGAAAAAAAGAAATCCCCAATTGAAATTATGAAAAAGAATTAAAATTAATACCAGATCTGGCGGCGCGATCGATCGATTCGATGTGCCTCGGACAATCGCAACGGGCGTGGGTCCCTTCATCGCCACGTGGGTTCAATTAATCGCAAGGACGTCATCGCGTATGTGGGACCTGCACTGGCTAAATCTCGCGAGAATATGAGGAAAATTAAATGTGACCCTACCGAGCGTTTACCTAATGAGCACGCCTCATGTCCGGCGACCCGTTCGCGACTCGCGAGCGCCGAGCCGGCTTGGGGACTTGCGGCTCCCAGGGATGTGCGCGGTACGCCGGTCAGCAGGGTACTGAGGCCCTGCGTCGCCGGTCTCCGGTATACCCCTTCGCGCGCGCGGGCGCCCCCCTTCCCGCCCCTCGCCACCCCCGAGTATTCCCTCGTCAAGCGCGCATCCACCCACGCAACTGTTGCGCCCCCGCGCTCCTTTCTGATCCCGCCGCTGAACTGCGACCGCGAGAGCGAACCCAGAGGAGAATCCCGCGATCTCCACAAGAGAAGAAACTCGTTTCCTGAAAGTCCGCGTCGAGGTGTACTCGGGTCCGGAAAGAGGACCTTTCATCTTGAAAACCGAAGTCGGGAAAAGTAATGACGATTTGGGGATCCAAGGAAAAAAGAGTTATCTATATAGAAGGAAAGATGAATTAATGGCATCTGAGATTTGAGATGAGACGAGCTCGAGATCGGGTAGCTGGGTATTCTTGGTCATTTCTGTTAGGGGAAACGTGGGAAATGGGTTAAGTGATTAAACCCTGCCATTTTACCCGGTCTGCCGAAAAAATATTAACGCGCTCAATAAATTCGGCTCGGGGAGGCCGGACAGGGCAGGGGTGCTGTAGTTTGCTTTTCCAACGTTTCGAGCAGACAGTGAAGCTTCCATCGATTCGAGGCGCTTTTGCTAATTGCTTCCTACCGATGTGAAGGACTGACGAAAAGTGGAATTGACATTTCTTTTTTTTTTCTTTCTAATTTATTTTTCCTTTTCAGTTTGTTGGTAGGGATGCGTTACCTTCCTCGTGCAAGTGGTCGTTTCCGTGGGGTCCTGAGCCGCCCCTTCCCGGGTTTACCGTCTAACAAAACCTTTTTTCCACCGCGAGATTCATTGTTTCCATTATGAAAAACCTTATCTCGGGGAGGGAACTAAGAAACTGGGCTCTCGCCAAGTTCCCGTCCGCTCGTCCGAAATTCCGGGCATAAAGTACTCCGTGCGATTAAAATTACATGACCCACTTGGGTCATAAACGGAAGAAAACGCGCCGTTTACGCTTTCCGATGGCGTAAAGTCCTGGTTTACTCGGAGGTTAAGCATGGTCGGTCGTGACCACTGCTCGTACGAGTGCTCGGAGAAAGTTCGCGTTTCCCTGATTTTTCCGCAATTTTGCGCGAGAAAGGAGACCCATAAATTGATGAAAGTTCACCGGAATAAACCCAAGCAAACGCGCGGCGAAACCTGCCCAAGAGCAGAAGCTCCACCCTGCAATCTTTAAAAAATGAAAAATACACTACACTACAAAAAATAAGAAATAAAATTCTCCCGAGTTTTGCACATTGTCTGCGCCCATTACCCTTTAACGAGAGCTCAACTGAAGCTGCCGAGGACTTCTGCAAAAGGGTTAAAAGAGAAATATTTAGCCGCTTAGTACGTACTGTCGGGTCAGTGCTTTCGCGTGCGCAGCTCCTGATAATCGGCCGGAGCTCCGAAAATGCCGAAGCTCGAGGCGAGTGGCGCAAAATCCGTTTGCAGAGATTTAAAGTATGCTAAGCGCGTCCTTTAAGAACATGACTTGTTGGTGTATTTCGCGGGTAAATTGAGCTCGGACATGAAACAACGCGATGCGAGCCAAATGCAACTTCCAGGATGGAAGCTTCAGGCTGCGGTTTGTTGTACGACATTTTTGCAACCGACAGGAAAGCAAAGCTTTAGTGTCGTTTCCTGTACGTCGCCGTACGTGACAGGGAAACGCGAGGACACGCCTTTTGTGTACCGGATACGCGTACAGAGGCGTTTACCCCTGTTAGTAAATTGGGTCTTGTAGTGTGCCATGCGTGCGCCTGACTTGCCCTCGTGGTTGAGTATAAACAGTAATCGGTACTGCACCAGTTCCTTTTGATAAAACATTTATTTCACCGTGCGAAATTTATTTAGTATGTCAGAATTCATCCGCCTTGGTAATAAACGAAATTTCATAGACACGGGACATTTTAGAGCAATTTTAATTCAGATGTATTTATTAATAAAAAAGAAAAAACTTCTACTTAAGAGCTTCAGAATTTACTCCAACGCAGGAACTTTCATTTCTACGGCTCAGTTTAGCTATGACCTGATAAGGAATTGTAATTGGAGTGGAGATAATTATTTCTGAATTTAACCGTGAGGTTAAAGTCGAGAAAATCGGAGGCGCTAGTGGAAATTACAACCTAGTGCCAGAGGAACCTACTTTTTCTTCCCGAGGATGCGTTAAGAGAGGAAGTTCCGCATCGGCGTATCAGCGTGAGATAACGGCGACATTTTCTCCGCACACGATTGTCAGCCGAGCTGGATATTTGTCGAGTCGGGAAAGTCGACGACCGTTCGAGGCAAGGAGGCTCGACCTATTTGATGCTCCTCTCAAAATCGGAATACCCCGGGTGCAGGTTGTACACACGGGTCATAAAAGCGGGTCGTTTGTCCCCGCGACTTCGCAACTCGGAGTTATTAAAACTCTGTATTTGCGGATGTTTTACGTAGGTGAGGTGCCCGGAGGCGGCGGGAAAGTCAATCAAAGAAAGAGGAGGCGAAGGAAACGAAGAAGAGAGAGTCGCTTTTCCACTTTTCCCGAGAATTTCGACGTCCCTTTTCGCCATCGGAGGGAATTTCGACGCCCTCGGCGAGAGCTCGAGTCGAGCGCAAATTAAGGCCGAATCGAGGGAGAATTGAAGGCGAATTCAAAGCCGGGGTCCGAAACAGGGGCCAGGGGCCTCGAGGATGGCGAACGGGGACACCTTGCTAAGTGAAAATTAATCCCGTAATTAGGAAGTTCTCGGGGTGGGAAAAATGGAGGGCGCACAACGAGCCATTCCGCCCGTTCCGCCGTGCCAGGGAACTCAAACCCCACCTGCGGAGGGAGAGAGAGAAAAAAGGGAATATGCGCCCCCGGGAAGTTTCGGTACTTGTCGCAAGAAAGGGATGTCCCCGGGACCGACACCCTCTCGCCGGTGACTCCTCTTCGAGCGAGATGCTCGATTCGCAGTCCCTTAGGACGATTCCCTCTCATCCCTCTCGTCCCCTGTCCCGAGTCCCTCCTGACAGTCCTAGCCTGCGGCTGTCGCAAAAATCTCGGGGTGAGAGCTCCACTTTTGGCCCCTGTTCGCCTCCCCTCGCGGTGGTGCAGCTCGAGTACTCCAGCTAAAGGGTTGAAGTGATCGAGGGGGCCGCTTCTTGCCGATGCGAGCCATTAAGCCGTTGGGCGGTAGGATGTGATAACGATATTATCTGATATGGAATTATATTTAAATCCGGTGATTGATTCAAGTCATTCGTGGACCCCTACTAAATAATCCTGGAGAATAATAAGGGGTGAGACAGGGATCATATGAACTTCGCTTCATTTTGGAAGCTGTTTAGGCTCGCCAATTGCTCGGAGGTAGGGTAGTTACTACACTGCAGACAGTAATTTACTAACAGACGTACGGATACAAGGGGTGAGATGTACCGCCGTCCACCCTCGGTATTGGTGGTCTACGGTACAAATGCATTCGACGGGTAGAGATAGAGGCACCCGATAATTGGAAATTTCGTCTGCTTAGAGTGCCTATCGCCATCTCTCTTCCTCTAGATTAGCGAGTTCGCTGTTGCAGAAGCCAAGCTGTCTTCGACGACCCTTTGTGCGGGAATTGTTAACACTTTTTCCTTTTGCATTTACGCGTATCGTTATTACTTCGATGCATGACGTGTCATTCGTAAAATATCCAGGTAAACAGTTTATTTAATAATTGAAAAGTACCCCAAATTGTCCGTGACTCAGGAGTCATATTTTCACGGAAGATAATTTTAGTACGTAGGTTGCCCACATATCACTGACTTCAAAGTAGATCGTGAAGCTAAAATCGGTGAACGGGCTCGAAACGTCCCAAAGTACGATAAGGTCCACGATTCGAGGAGGTTTCGAAAAAGTTCCTCCTTATTTGTATTCACCTCGCGAGAAGCCCGCAGCGTGATAAAGAGAGAATCTCGAAAGTGTCGAAGATAAAACCGGCGTTATGGTAAAACGCTGGCGACGGCTAAGTATAAAAGAGCCGATGGATACGCTTGCGATCAGTCGCAGAAAAAATGGAATCACGTGGAATCGTCATCCTCGTCCTGGCAATCGTGCTCCGCGATTTCACCTGCGCGGAGGCCGAGAGGAAAGTCAATTTTCGAAACGTGGAGTTCACCGAAACCGACGTCGCCCCGGAAAATGAATTGGTATTAAGCCCATTTTATATTTTGTCGCAACTGTCGCCCCGAGTCTCATTTAAAGCCAGCATCTCTGAGTTTTATATTTCAATTGTCCGGAACAACCGGTCATCGATTTATTGTTCCAAATGCCCGATTTCCTGCCTTTAGACAAAACTAGCCAAGTACAACCGCGGAGAAGCATTTATCGGGGACCTGGTGATCGGTAATCGACGAGCGGACGAAACAGTTTTTTGGCGCACTGTGGAAATTTCGAATCCGACCGATGAGGTTTACAGTACTGTTATTACTGCGAGTGTAAACCATGGTGAGTGTTGTAAAACTCGTCACTAGAATTTTTTCGATAAACTTATCGTTAGTGAAATCTTTCATCGTGTGAATCGAATGAGAGAAGATCTCTTGATTCATTAATGTTTCATTTTCTTTTCCTAGGAGTGATACATTATTTAAGCGCGGTAAATAACCAAGGAAGTTATGCGGTAGCCTGCGACGAACCATACACTCTTGGGACTTCCAAAAGCAGTTTCAAAGTTCGAGTAGTGCCCAACAGCAAGTCTACACTCTCACTAGTAATTGCTGCCCATTGAGGTGAAGATTAAAGTTACATTATTCCAAAAATAATTGGAACCTTACCTTACGACGTACAGTAGTTTTCGGAGAATTGTTTCAATTCGGCCCTACATTCAAAATTCTCTTACCTGGAACAAAAAAAATGTACAACTACAATTAATGACGTTATTTAAGGGTAAACATTGAAGGATGGTAATTAATATAAGGGAATAGAAATGGCGTGGGAACGTGTACGTTAACGAATATATAATCTGCAAATCGGAGCAAGAGTCTTGAGCAATCAATAACCTTTTCCTTCGCCTAAATTTATCTGATCCGTTTTCGCATTATTTCTATCAATATTCCCTCTTCAAAGTGGTATTTCAAAGGATAGTAATTAATATAAAGGAATAGAAATGCCGTGGGAACGTGTACGTTAACGAATATATAATCTATAAATCGGAGCAAGAGTCTTGAGTAATCAATAACCTTCTCCTTCGCCCAAATTTATCTGATCCGTTTTCGCATTATTTCAATCAATATTCCCTCTTCAAAGTGTAATAATTATCGTTATCCATTACGCAACTTTCCGTGTGTTATCGAGTCCTATAAATCGCGGAGGGCACCGTTTATCTTTCGAACTCTTCTTAAACATTCCTGGAACTTCTGCCCTGCGACTCCTGAAGGAAAAGTTCCACTCAACAAACGGCAACTCCCGCCTTTCCCTTTTTCTCCCTTCTAGGAAACTCAAACTCCCTCGGAACCGGAAGTGCGGGGCTTTTTTCCACGATTTCACGCAATAATGACTAATCGATCGGAATTTCACGCGGAGAGGTTCGACCCCGGGTTCAGGAAAAAAGTGATCCGAATCGAGTGATCCAATCAGTCAACCGAGGGTGAAGCCTCCCTACAGCTCTTCGGGGTGTGCACGGCATATCGGGCTGTTAAGCTAAGATATTGCCCGAAGAGAGGCAGGCAGAATTACCGGGGGTGTTTATTTCCGTAATAAGTTCCGACGTAATTCCGCTAAACTGCGTGTCAACTCTTGGGGGAGGCACGCACCCCCTTGCGCCGTTCCGCGTTTACAGCCGAACTTGCTTTAAGGGTGGTTCTGGCTCAACAATTTCTCAACTATCCCTCTCCAAGTTCTAACAATAAACACCCCATGGAAAATGACACAAAACTGACACCTCTTAATTTAAACAAAAAATGTAAGCTCCTCTTACGTAAAAGAAAAACCAAACAATTTGAAATATGTAATTTCAATACGAGAACATAACGTAGAGGAAGGAAACATTTATAGCATTAAGCTTTGGAATTTTAATCGATAAAGACCATTGATTCAAATGCAACAAGAATTGTTTTATTAGAGATACACGCTGTCAGACGTGTTTAAGATTTTTTTTTTGTGGAAGGATAAGTGAAAATGGAGTAATTTAGAAAATGATTGAATTTTGCTGATGGGTCGCGGCTTAATTGGAGTCTGAATCTAGGTGCAAAGGGGGTGCAAGACTATTGCTTATTACCTAAAAACAGGGAAACAATGGCACTGGAGAAGGAAACGAATTTCCCGGGGGTGTCGACCCATTAAGGTAGCTCCAAAGATTCATCTTTGCTCTCAGCCACGAAATTAGGTCTTCAAGGTAAGTTAGAGAAGTTACTTCGTGGAACGGTAATTTGCTTAAAACGCGTTGTTAAGACCGGCAGACTTTCGGGTTTTCATGACTCACTCCGTACGTCCAAGTAATGCTTACAACTCGAAATGTGCGTTGCACCCCTTTAAAATTAATGCGTATATAAACATGTCAGCATTTTCCGAGTTTTCCTAAATACGTAGGGAACGTGAATTACGTACGAAACATGACTCAAGGAGTGGGTACTAGAATTTTTAGGAAAATTCCTTGAATTTTGAAAAAACGCGTTTGTGGTGTTTACCCCATAAATGCCAGGGATGTAATTTAAGTCTCAGCAGCTGAGTTAGGAATAGGTTCGCCTCCCTGAGAACGAGGAAGCGCCTTAGGGTTCCGATCGAAGAGGAACACACGTTATCATCCCTTTATCATCTAAGTTATTCCTCTGGCACGAACCAGAGAGGGCAGATTTGTCACCAAAAGCGGCTTTACGTTACTCGAAAGAGTATGGGAGCACACGAAACCCTACAAGCAGAGTGGAACACCGAGATCAAAGCGATTCAGCCCCATATTGCATAACGAGGATAAATTTGAAACACCGTGCAGAAATAAGTCTGTTTCATTTTCCTCCCTGAAACAATGCACCAGTATTGAAAACAAATATTTTCGTTTATTAAATGAATATGATACATTGAAATACCGAAGCATAACTTTAGGAAATATCCCGTACCATTATTTTATATTTTCCTATGGGCACGGTATGATGGTCAATTTCGTGATAGGTACTCTAACCCCAGGAGTATTTAGCCCGAAAGAATTTTCATGTAAAATAATTAGTGGCACCTTGAGGAGATATTTATTAGGGGCGTTGTTGTACCCCGCGGTGCCATACGGTTAATTTATATTTATCTGAAAATAAAAGGTCAATATGCAGCATCGAGAGGGCGTGCGTAGGACCCTGGTAAACGGTAAAGGGTAAACGAGGGAACAATGGAGGGTGCACGCCACCCACAGCAACCAGAGAAAATTAGGCTGAAGTGACGTAGCGCTACCCTACAAATTGCTGAAATTATATAATTAATTATTCCTTGATTTACCGAACTTAATATTAAAATACATAATTCCACTGCAAGAATCAGGGAGGGAAAAAAGAAATTCGATAAATAAGTGCGTGCTTGAAACACGCATTTCCTTTCTTGTCTATAGGAATACCATTTGATATGAAATAATGATCCCTGAAGAGGACGATTTATCTCGGAGCCCCTTTCTTCGTTTTATCATTTATTTATATCGTGAAAAAATTCCCTGGGTACTCTCTTCCAGAGATACGGAGCAAATCTCTTTCCAATACGACTGGGAAGGAAATGAAATTTTGGAGACGGTGCCCGGGGTGCATCAAAAACGTCTTCTCACCGGTGGCTCTCGCAATTGTATACGAATTTGCGCGGGTTTTATTTACGTCGTAAGGCAGGTCCCTTCTCGAATGCCGACTCGCGCCCTATTTCGTCCGGACAAGGGAGGCGCAATAAAGGATATCATCCACAATCGAGGACGATCCAGATCCCGCGGAATTATTGGAAATCGCAAATAGCACCCTATCTCGCTTAGGGGTTACTCGCGGGGATCAATAAATTTACGGGAATAGGCTCGAGTAGCGTATCGATCAGGGGAATCGAAACCAGGATTTAGTGCGAGTCAGGACGAAACAGGAGTCCCTCGTAAATCGGGATAGAAGGTCGAAAATCGCTCGCCAAAACGAAACGGATGAAATAATGTGGTTTTCCCGGATACCACATGGAACGCTACACCGGATTGCCTCTTCAAGAAAAATCGTATCAGTTTATAATAATTTTTCCTTTAAGGAAAACATGTTAAAAGAACAAGTACTGACGTTCATCGAAATTGCAATGCGACATTTGGAAGGATTTACTAGTTTACTAGCCGGAGGTCTTGTAAAAACTTATTGCCCAGGCGAGGACGTGGGAAGTCGATGGCTCATAAAATGATTTCTTTCTCTTCCTCTGTTTTTCTTTTCGCACTCTTCCCTCCGTCTTCACCCTCGGACGTTACGCAGCACTTCTATTCCGGTTAGGCGAAAGTCATTGCCTTACACCGGATGGTCGACGAGGTGTAATATTCCCAGTAATGCGTGCCTAACCACCGTAATAAATTGCAGCATTCCTGGAGGCCACGTGTTAACCTTTAAATTAGTCTCGAGTAACAATTATTACGACTTGGTACGTTCGTCACCGTGCATCGATAAATGTCCGTCCGAGAAATGATTTCCAAGGAAATACCTACATAAATCGAGGGATAAATAATTCTAACGATGGTTAAAAAATTCACGAAACTGAGAAATAAGTACCATGCCAGTTCTTATAATTTATTTAAGGGATGAAGGTACCAACCCTGGCGGAGCAACAGCCCTGAAATACCATTCGGCACCAGATGGAGGCCATTTCGCGGGTTTATCGTCAAATTCGATAGGATTGCCCTTCGTGTTCGCGGATTTTGTTAACGACGCGAGTTTAACGGACAATTAAGCCGAAACGATCGTCGGAAGTTGGCGGGACGAGGACCGGCAAAAGTCTTCGCTGGTGGAGGACCGAATGATTGATTATCGAGACTCGATTATAGGCGGCACTAAATGGCATCGGGTTTATAGAAATAGTTGGAGAGAAACTCGATGATCGACGTCCATTCGCCCCCGTAAAACGACGGCCGTCGAATTAAGGGTTAATTGGCGACATTACCCGAACGAATCGTCGACAACTGTCCAATGTCGAGGGTGAAATGTCAAAGGAGGGGAAGATCTCGAGTTAATTACGAACGATGGTAAGGACGAAACAAAAACACTCAAAATAATGATAAGAATATTGTGTTTTCAAAGTATCAATCGCATTTGATTGTAATACGTCGCGTAATCCCATAATGGGGTATGAAAGAGGATCCGAAAGAGGTTTTTATTGGAATGCGATTCGATCGATTTAAGTCAGGATAATTAAAGCGACTCGTAAAATTAAGTCAGAAGGGTAAGGTCGCGATCGGGAAACGAATTAGATAATGGCATGGAAACTAGTAACCTGCGTTCTCCCCATAGAATGGAATCTAATTTCCGATACCGCTGACAATGCCGACGGTCGAGCGACGACGACTTTGATTAAGACCTAAGGCATAGTGCACAATTAATCCAGCTGTTCCCAAACACAATTGGGTACGTGTATGCGTATAAATTTCCCAACTAGCTAGCTCAGCCCTGCCAAGTTTGTCGAAGACGAAACACCTCTCGAACGTTTCGCCTCTGATTTCCATATCCGAATCGGCAAATCTTCGGTATGGGAACAAGGGACCAACATACGCGCATCCGTCAGCCGAGTTCCGAGGAACTAGGAAGAACCGTACACCTTCATTGTTTTCCAATTACGCCCATTAATTGAGATCAATAAATCGACAAATGAGGAATTTAAGTTATAACCTCGTCAAACACTTTTTCTCGTTCTCCGGTGTAAGATTTCTTGAAGAGGAGTCGGAGTTCACCGGAGTATCCTTGGGGGCGAAAGACCCCAAACTCGAAGGATCCTTCATGGCGGGTGAATTATCGAATTTCCTTCTCAAATTTGGAACTTTCGAAGCCGTCCTTGAAATTGTCCTTCCGATATGACGGAACCACTTGTTTCTACCTCGCAGACGACGCCCGGCACTGCTACGGAGTCCGTAATGGGCTTACCAACGAGCGAAACCTTAGGAACTGCGGACCTCCACATCGCCCGGAGACATGGAAACTGAGAAATCCAGTGGACGATGGTGTCAGTGTGTCGTGGAGGAAGAAGAGAAACGCGTCGCGCCGAAGATGGCTCCGAGAGGCGCGAGTGCCACGTTGAAAGATGAGGACTCGTAGAAGAGAACACCGAGAGGAGATCAAGAGGAGAACGGAAACAACGGGCCTTTGACACGAGGTTTCCCCGAGGACTGCTCCAGAAAGCCAGACCTCACCCATGACGGGACGACCCAGAGCTAGGTACCGGAATGTCAAATGTCAAACCCAATTAATAATTATTCAATTAAGGCACTGCGTCGACCTTCGAGGAGTACTTCCGTCTCCATCGTCGTGACCCCCGATAAGAGCTTAGACGCCTCCACGAAAATCAAGGAACACATCCCAGCCAGGATCAGGGATTGCGACACTTTGAAAATTGGGATACCCCCTATATTCCCCATTAGTCGGCTCTAGAAAAGGATTATAGTTTTCTGCCAACATTTGGAATCATCAGGAATTTTCTCTGATTTTTTTTAAGGGAAAGGGAAGGGAGAGAACATGTAATCTATGAAAATGTATTTGGCGCGGAACACAACCGAGCAATGTGCGCTCTTTCCCGTTCTTGACGTATCGCGATGTTTTCCTATCGCGACGAGTTCTCGGAGTAGAGAAGCAGCCTTTTTGTCCGCGTTTAATGGGACATCGAACGAGGCCAGGAAAGGCCAACTTTGGTAACCGGGAGGTCGAGGACGACTCCGTATTGTGAGCCGGTCGGCGGCGGACCTCGACTGTCGTCGACTGATAGCGGTCTCCTTACCTTCCGCCGTCCTCGTCGCAGCTGACCGCAGCATCGGCACGATTTTGCTCCTCGCATGCAGCTGCAATCGCATCCGGGATCCTAAACCGCGGGATTCGCGTCAGCGGGACGTCCCGCGGGAACGGCCACAAGGAAACAGGGAACTCGATCGATGCCCGACCGACCGTCAAAAGAAACGGGATAGTCTTTGATGTTTGTCCCGGCAAATGCATCCTGTATGCACCTGGCCAAATGGTTTGATGAAGGAAGAAAAAAAACGATCGCGAACAATTCCTATCAAGAATTGTTTGTTTCGAATTAGAAAATGAAGATAGACACAAAAAGTGGAGTCACTTTCTTTCCAAATTTATTCCACACCTGACCTTAAACTCCGCCTCTTTATTGTCAGATTATCCAGGAATCAGCATGAAGAAGCGCGGCCACTCCGAAAAAAAGAGTACCTCGAGTAATCAGAACGTGGGAAAGGATGACCCCAAGTCAAGTGACCAGTCCTTGGCTCCTCTGGACGATGACAGTCACAATCAAGGATTCAGCGAATGGCTGCGTTCCACTGATGGGGTCGAAATGATGCGACTGTTCGTCATTGCGAATTCTCTGCTGGTTTTCGTGACAATAGCTTGGCCTAATATGCAGGAGGCGATGGTCATCTTGAAAGGACTCATAATGGGCGAAGACTAGGACCAGAGTCATCCTAGGGACTAATAATTTTCAATCAAGTCAAAATCACCGGTAAGAAGTTTTTAAACCATTTGTCCTAATAATTCAATTTCCTGATTTTTTTTTCCCCCTTCCTTTCTAATTTTCCGACATTTAGAAACCAAAATCACGGAACCTGGATGAACGATAGAACCCAGTCTCGCCTTCGAGTTCTCGCCTTCAATGGAATATAATATCCGTCGACTTCGCGCCAGGTTTGGACGTCTCTTTATTTATGATTTAATTACTTCGAGCAAAGAGGAATGTCCTTCGAAGGCGAAGCTGAAAAGTATTGAGGGCTCGACGTGCAGCATTCCGAAAGGTCAAGAAGGCAATATTTTACACGTAACACCGGCCGAGGTGATCGAAGAGACGTTATTGGCTCCTCTGCGCGAAGTATTGAATTTACTTTAAGGCAAGGCACGTACCGATTCGTCAGGCACGTGCACCTCTGAGTAATCGTTATCCTTCGGGACGAATTAATTCCTTTGCAGGACGTAGGAAGTCGTCGGGAGGCCCCGTCCCAACTTTTCCGGCTGGCGAGTGCCAGAAAAGACTCTACCAAAGGAGGTGGACAGCTAGAAAACGTCATCGAGATGTCGTAACCGTCCCTGAAGAATATCTCCAGGTGTCACCACGAGATAAATGAGAATTATTGACTTATTATATAAACAACGGATTGCCTAAACTGACCGCACCGACAACGCGGAATTAAACGTGTCGCTTCACCAGCGACAAAAGCGCCGTCGAGTGATCCGAACGTTTCGACAACGCGGATAGCGCATGAATTATTTATCGAATCGCCGTGGCGGAATAACAAAAGAGCCGCAACAACAAGTAATTTGTTGAACGGCCTATGCCGGAGGTGAAATTAACGTGCAGCGGCGGAAGCGAAACACGCGTGCGGCGAATCGCAGGGACGTGGAACAAATGCGCCGGAGTTGTCGCCAACTGCGGAACCAATCGTAAATCGACTATCCAGGATTCCTCGGAAGGACTAGTCGACGTCAACTCGAGCTTCCAAAATTGGTGTCCTTGAGAAGCTTCCCTTTGCCAAAGGAATCCCGGCGCCGCGGAGCCTTTCAGGAATCTACGTGTGGTATACACATTCCTGAAAGGTTGGGGTAGGTCGCTAGGCAAACTGGGAGCGGAAGAGGGAAGTAGGACCGCCATTGAAGAGGACCAAAAGTGATAAAAAGAAAAAGGGGATAAAATGCTGGCGTTGATATTCCGCGGGGTCTTTATTCTAGGCGTGCTCTCCTGGTACAGCACCACGGTGTGGAAGATAATCGACGGCTACTTCAAGGACCAGTTCCAGAAGTACCTCCAGGACGAGTACCAGAAGAACCCGAAGATGAGGGAGGACGTCGAGTCCTACGCGTCAGCTGGTAAAGAGGGTCCCGTCTCCACAACACCTCCGACTGCGACCACGGAGGAGCCGACTCGGCACATCCTGGACGCTCTCGACGAGGACACTTGTCCGGTCAATGCTGCAGAGTCCTGCAAGGAAATTGGAATTCCGAAGAGCGACTCAGCCAGTGGTAACGAACTCGAGGAAGATGCCGTTCCTAATGAAAAAGGCGCTACCTCGCAGAGTTCGGCGAGTTCGACCCTGAAGAAGGAGGAAGGTCCTGAAGGGAACCCTGAGGAGAAACTTCCTGGCGACAACGTGGGAAAGTCGAAGGTTCATGATAGGGTCATCTCTGAAGGCAACGTCGGAGGAAGGAAGAAAAGGGTATTCCCTCCTTCTTCTTCGGTAGATGAGGGTAAAAAGAAGCCGAAGGTGAGAACTATTACCCTTACCGAGGCGGATTTCGAGATCGCCAAGAGGAGGAGGAAAATCGACTACGACTTCGCCGAGTTCGATGCCGAAGACGGTGCCTCGATCGAGCCTCCAGAAGGTATTCTGGTCTCGGAGCTTCCGTTTAAGCCGAAAGCTGATATCGGGGATCTGGAGAGAGTCACTGCCGACGAGTTCTGTCCTTTGACCCTCGAGGAAGAGGCCACATGTGGGGAGACCACGAAATGGCCGTGAATGGTCAAGGTCGGGATCATGGCCAGAGAGTTCGCAAGTAATGGCCCCCGTGAACTTGCCGAAGTGAGGGAAACGGACGATCCTATGAACGTCCAGACTTTTAGAAATTATATACGGTACAACTGTCTCGACTACATGTCAGATGGGAGGCTCTCAACGAGGCTTATACAGCCAACGCTACAGGATCTTGGAAGAAAAGTGGGACCCTGAAGAGCGACCCAGGGAGTGGCAACGAATTCGAAATAGATGCTCGTCCTAGAGGAAAATACTCGGACACCCAGAGTCCCACGAATTCGACTCCGAGGAAAGAGGAAGGTCCTGAAGGGGACCCCGAAGAGAAACTTCCCAGCCACCTTGCGAAGAAGTCGAAGGCCCCGGATGGAACAGCCTCCGAATCCAAGGTCTTCGAGTTCAAGGATGTCGAAGGGGGAAGGATATTTTCTACCTCGTCAATAAAAGAGGGTTAGAAGAAATAGCAGAAGGTGAAGAGCATCGCTTTAACCGAGGCGAACTTCGAGACTGCTAAGAGGCGGAGGAAGGTCGACTACGACTTTGCCGAGGGTGACGCTGAAGACGGAGGTTGCCGTTTCAGCCGAGGGGCTGATATCGAGGATCCGAAGAGAGCCACTGCTGAAGAGTACTGTCCTCTGACCCTGGAGGAAGAGGCCGCGTGTGGAGAAACCACGAAATGGTCGTAAATGGTCAAGGTCGAGATCAGGGCCAGAGAGTTCGCGAGTGCGAGTGGCTTGCGGTGAACTTAAAGCGAGAGAAATGAACGATCTCATGAACGACCAGATTTCTAGAAATTATATATACATATAGTAGGCACATCTTGATTACATGTTTAGATGAGAGCGTTAGAGATTTATGCTAAGCGATTTAGAAACTGTGAAGAGGTCTCGTATGAACGGAGACCCCGAGGAAAGTGCAATTTTCGCCGCGGCGAAGATGCTCGAGCTACTGCGGGAATCCTGTAGGAATTTTCACCACGGCTTCATAGCTTTTACACGCGTCTATGAAATTAGTTTCTTTAATATCGGAGAAAGTTTCCCGAGGAGCATTTATCTCCTCGAGTCAGCTCGGGATAAGTATTTCAAGGGTAATTCAAGGGAACGTTATCTCCCGCCGTTCATGGTAATTATTGCAGCTTCGGCAATTAGCACCGGCATTTCAGTAACTCCGTTTCGAACTTCCCGTAATTATCACTTTTATCACCGCGACTTGATAAGGTAACTTCCAAAGTTCTCCCACCTCCCACTGTTCACACCTTCCTTGAAGAGTCCTTTTTTAATTGCACCGTGAAAAAAAATAGAAATGGGTACATCACTTCTGCACTTGTAATCAAATTTTTTATTAAATGTAATCTTTTAGAGATTGTTGTCCAGAAATTTCATTTTCTACGATTACGTGGCAGGTATTTTGAATTCGGGTCCTTAATGGGGTACATTTTGGGGGATGCAAAATGCGCCATTAAGAAATGGTCCGCCACCCATTTCCCACCCATGTTTATAACTTTCTCGTGCGTATTCACTAGCAAGAGTACTTTCTTTCGGGAAGTGGCTGTAGCTTCGACATCGGAATTAATGGCACCGCTAAGAGCAAAATGCGTGCTGGTAGATAATGAAAATCCTTACCTTCACCGTTCCACCGAAACGTGACTGCGCAACTAAGCCGATTTTGCCCTTCGGTGCGCAGCTTTTTTACAAAGAGCCCACGTTGCACAAAAGCTCGCAACAAGAATGCAAGGAAGAGAGCTTAACACCGAGGATGGGAACATTGGATTTTCAAAGATCATCTAACAATGAAAAGATACTTCTACAGAATAGATGCTGCTATAACGATCGTTTAATAACAACTAAGAGCCTCGGAAATGCCATTATCAATTTCTTGTAGGTATTTACTATCCTGGTAATAAACGTCAAAACGTTAAGTCAGCTTTTCATGGGTCGCGAAGATATTAACGTAATTTAGGTTCCATTTTTCCGATAGCCGTAAGAACTGTTTCTCTCGAGGTTAAGCAGTGGCCTTCGACTGGCCCTCTGATCAGCTGATTTCTCCCAGGACCAGAAATGGCCTCCAGGCCCGAACTCTACACATTTCCCATGCAAGGACAAGCAGAAAAACCTATATTTCCCCCGAACACCGTCAATGCCTTTCAACCAGAACCTCCCCCGTTAATTAACAAACTCCTCAACTTGCTAATCAACCACTAATTTCGAGAAAAATCCAATTGAAAGACTCGCGAGTTAAATTCAAAGAACTCGGCACTTGATCGACATTCCCGAGGCTCGTGATGATCAATATTTTCAAAACCTGTCATGCACACATCTACGGATCATCGAGCTGAGATCATCGGTATTCAAAGGGGAACTAAAATAAATATCTATAAAAATGTCACCCATGAACGTCTATAAATCACGCATTGATAATCATCGGCCCGTTCAAGGGGCGTTGTTGGAAGACATTTGTCTGGGATAAATCAGGATCATCAAGATTCCGTAAAAGTGTCTCCTAGATCGGCCTCGATATCGAGCGGTACTTGACCCGAGTGGCGTTCGATCGGGAAATTAATCTAAGTCTCGAGATGATATCAGGAGAAAAAGTCTAACCACACCGTGCTGGTATTTATGTCATAAGACTCGTTCCAGACGTCCCGAGGTCTACAAAACAAAAGTCCACGGTGTATGACCAAGCGCACTCGAGTACTTATGTCGCGTACGCTCACGTGCCTCCACCGGTTTAGCCCTCCACCATAAACCTCCCTCTCCGTGCCTTTCGGATTCGTGATACGCATACCTAAACGGGAACCAGGTAAAGGTTAGTGGCTGCGATCGAGTACCCCAGGTACCCGTGGTTTTATATGGGAATTCGCGCCTGGAAAACACCATCCAAGCAATAATTAAGCAACGTTAAGACGTCCATTGAAACGCTCCCAGAAGAAAATATTTTCTTGCCGAAGAAATCCTGCCAAGTACTCCCGATAATATGAAACTATTAACAAGCAAATATAGGTCTTTATTGAACTTAGGAGTTTAAAGTGTTATGAAAGGATCTTTCTATATATAAAAAAAAAAACGTCAAAATATTGATATAACTTTTCTTCGAACTGGATTCGCCGAATCGTTTGAGACTACAGCACGTGATTACGAAGGCCCTAAGGAAGAACGCGATGCTCGTGAAATTTCAATTTTCAGAAAAAAATGTAATCTTCGTTCTAGTCTAGACTAAATAAAAAAAATGTTTTTTTTTTAAACGAAATTTCCCGAGCATCACCTTCTTTCTTAGGGCCTCCATAATCGCGTGTTAAATGATTTGGTGCACCTACTTTGGAGAAAAGTTGTATAAATATTTTGACATTTTGATACATACAATAACCCTTTCATGTCAGCTTAATTTCGCAAGTTATGACAAACATATAAAACGCGCCAGGCTAAACATCAGAGATAATGACTAAATTACTATTTCGTGCCTGTATACATATTTGGTGCGAAACTCTCCCGAATTTTTAAATTGTATGCATCGATTTATGAATTCTCTCCTAAAGGAGGGAAGTAGGTAATTGTTAAGGGTTAATGGGTCATTTTTTTTTTTTCTATGAAACAGAGAAATATCCCTTTAACGAGCTCGTTTCGCTGCCGCTCGTGTAGCAACAACACGGTTTGGTGACAGCGAAAAACCGCTGTCGAGATTTCACAGAAGGCCGGTTGAGTGTCAGGCATTGGAGGTCCAAGAAGAACCCTCGGAGGATTCGCATTCCTCGGAGAGAAGGTCGAGAGGGAGGAGGGCCCAACCAAACCTTAAGGCAGGGATCGAGAGGCCCAGAACCGAAAGAAGGACCCGCAATGCGGCCAGAGGAACGGTATTGTTCGGCCCTAAACTCGACTCGGCTGCGCAGCGAGAGGCGAATCGGGGTTCAAAGAACGCCGATCTGCGCAGGACCCGAGCCAGCCTCCGAGAAGACCTAGCCCAACCTCCACAGAGCGTCCCTGCTCTTTCCTGGACCGCAGGAGCGTACGTCGCCGCCCGTTATCCTGGACCTCGGCTGAATTCCACCTACGACTTGCGTCACATCGCTTTCGTACAATTTCTTCGCTAACCAAGCCATAAGAAATGTCAAACACCAGTTCATTGTCACCTATTAAAGAAACTTATAACGATCCCTCGCGTGGAATAAATATTTAATAGAAATACATCCGAGGACGAAGACGGTCAATCGGTATATCAGGTTTAGATCGCGAGGGGTGATATAATAGTTGTTAATTGACCCGAGGTTAATTACGATCTCGTAAAAACCAGATGAATTCGAGAGGATCCTCGAAGAGTCATTCGCGACTCTGGATGTCACCTCGGAACGGACGAGCATCCACGGACAGAGTTCCTCGTGGCAGTATCCGTGAACTCGAGGCCAAAGGCAGGTAAAAAAAAAAAAGTATCCCGGCGCAAGTCATTCCGTGGGAAGTCGTAAGGGCTAGATTCGCGCGCCCGGTCACGGGAATCTAGCCCATACCGCGGGGACCGCGCAGGCATCGCGCAGGTTGGGTCAATCTCGGCCCGGCAGGGAAGGTCACGTACCTTTGGCTGTTCCGGTGCCGCTCCAGCCTCCCGGATTCGGGGTCCACCTCTCATCCAGCACCGGTGAGGGGGCACCTGGACGCACCATGCGAGGACACACCGACGATCGCGTTGGGCCTCACGGCGTGACTGACAACACTCGCGGCCCGACACCAAACAAAACCCCACGCGGCACCAGCGCCGTGTCACCGGCGAGACCGCGAACCTTTGGAAGTGGGCCCCCTAGTCCCTATTGGACCCTCCACACCTAATACCGCGACAAGACGCTCGGCCGCCTCCTGGTCTGGGAAAACGACCTGCAGGCGCAGGTCCGACCCGATCGCTTTTGAAAGGCGCCGAAGAAAACCAGCCAGGAGGGCCAACCGACGTCCTGCCGCTTGACCTGCGCTCGGGGACTGACCAATCGCGACGCAGGTATCGTACCTGCGCCTGGACGTGTGCAGGTGGAGGGGATGCGCCACCACCTGCCGCGCAACCTGCTGGGCGCAGGGGCGAAGCAGTGCCTGGAAGCCTGCGCTGCCTGCCAGGCAAGGTGCGTCGGCAAGGCAGGGACCTGAAATCCTCGGGATGCAACGTGGATCTAATAGGAACTTTTAGTTCAAAATGGATGCTCTCCAAAATGTCATTCTTTAAGGAGACGTGATAATATAGATTAACTTGTATTATGTTGGCCATTCACGTTTAGTTGAGATTCTTTCATTCATTTATCTTCTTTCTATTCATTCCCCGCGGAACGTTAGCGGAATAGAAATGGAGAAGGAAGGTCGAGATTTGCAAGCTCGGTCGGTAACTCATTGTCGGAGTGGGTGTTCGAGAGGATAAAGGCACCGAGCGTTGATAAGAAATGCATTCTCTCGCTAGGCACGTTATCGAACCTGTGTGGAATTTCCTTGACAAGGTTTCGCACGAGAATACCTGATTTACCATATTCGGGGAAACTTTATCCGTGGCTTCGGATACTCAAGTTTCCAGGAAAAGGTTTCCAGGCAGATATTCGGCTCGGCTGATAGATATTTTACGGGAATAAGTAGAAATCATTCGGAAAGGCGTGTTTTATTTACCTTGTCGTCTCGAGAGCCCTCTTGAAACGGAACTGCGACCTTAGACGGAAAGTAGATCAGCTCTGGAATAATTATTATTCCTGCTTCGATGATGCCCTAGCGGAGTGTTGGGTTAAGGGGATCCCCTCGTAATTCGAAAATGGCCTCTTAAAACCGACACCCTCGACTAGGTCGAACCTTTTTGTGACGGCACATGAAACGATGAAAGGTAGGCGTCAAACGGAGCTCCAAGGCTGCTGCTTGCCATAGGTACTTATTGTATCAAGTCTCGTTAACGGAGTCGTTCGGTCACTCGCACTCTGGGTCGGGCACCAGAGAGTTAACGGAACGCTCCGGAGTCATCAAACCTCGGAGTGACGTGCACCAGGTCGTAAAATGTGCCGGAAATACAGGTGTTCTGCTCCAAATATACGGATATTAAATTAACATGGCGGCGTTGGTGCGGCTTAAGAGGAGCAGCGTCCAGCTCAGGCATGCGGCACTCGAGATGAAGGGTAAAGTTTATCGTCCTCTTTCGCTCCTTAAGGTGATATGAAAGTGTGATGTATACCTACATACCAGAAAGTGAAAATATTTATAAAACTTGTCTCCAAATTGGGTGCGCCAAACTATCGGAAACTTAAACACGTGATTATTGAGGCCCTGAGGAATAACGCGTTGTTCATGAAATTTCTTTTTTCGAGAAATATTTGCATGAAATTTCTTTTTTCGAGAAATATTTGCATGAAATTTCTTTTTTCGAGAAATATTTGCATGAAATTTCTTTTTTCGAGAAATATTTGCATGAAATTTCTTTTTTCGAGAAAAATTACTTGTCTCGGACGAGAATCAAAAAAAGATACTTCTTTTCTTCGAGAAATGAAATTTCACGGGCAGCGCGTTCTTCCTTAGAGCCTCCATAATTACGTGTTAAAGTTTAAAATAATTTGGTGCACCCAGTTTGGAGAAAAGTTTTATGAATATTTTGACTCTTTGGTGTGTATATATCACACTTTCATGTCACCTTAAGAGGATGTGGAACTGACATCTGAAGAGCCAATCGTTCATGAAACTTTTCTCCGACCTGAAGGTTTCGTTTCAAAATTGACAACGTGAATGTGGAGGCTATGAGAAAAGCGCTGGCCCTTATGAAACTTCATTCTTTTTATAAGAAATTTTACAAATATCTATGAACATATTTTTGAAAAATTGTATTTCATGAGTTTCGGGACCTTCCTTATTACCATCCATATTTATATTGTAAAGTTTAAATCGATTCCGTACACCCAGTTTGGAGAAAAGTTTCATAAACATGAACTCTCTGACGCCAGTTTCGCATCACCTTAAGGGGGCAAGAAACCCTCAAGCCGGTCGGTTCGAATAAGACACATTTTCTGAAGAGTATTTTATGAAACTAACTGAAATGACATGCAAACGCCTAAGGAATGCCTTGACACTTTCCAGACATTTATTTATAAAGAAATTTAGGTTAAACCGGCACAATGCTGTAAATCAAGATTTAAAAGGATCGAGACATTTCTTAACTGTTCACGAGTCACGTGCTAAAATTTAAGCCTGTTCGGTGAGGTACCATTTCAAGAACAGTCTCTTATTCCGATTGGCTGAGTTTGAGGGTCTTGATACTTGAAATACTCGGATAGGAGTGAAGTCTGTCCTAATGATGACATTTTCGTTACCGAAGTTTGGGGATCACGGAGTGGGTCGAATTACCCACAAAAGTTTGAGAAGTTATCGACACCTCTCGTTTGGGTCAAACTACCAGATCGTTCATGTAGAATTTTAAGATCCAAATTTTATGGGACATCCAAATTGTTGTACATTACGTTATCCCAAGAATATAGGAAATAAGTTCAGCGTGGGCCAATGATTAATTCAATCGGTCGTCGATTCTGGTGTTCTTCGGTGCACCGCCGATTGATACCACGCGCATCGTGTTGATTGCGTCGAGAAGCAGATTTGTTGCACTTTCCTTTAGAATCAGAATTTCAAGATGCAAAATTTTATGGGATATTCAAATTGTTGTACATTACGTTATGCCAAGAATATAGGAAATAAGTTCAATTGCATATAGAAATAAGTTCATAAGGCCAATGTTTAATTGAATCGGTCGTCGATTCTGGTGTTCTTCGGTGCACCGCCAATTGATACCACGCGCATCGTGTTGATTGCGTCGAGAAGCAGATTTGTTGCATTTTCCTTTCTTGTTACCCGGAACAACCTGGTGGATAGTCACTCGAAGAGCCGAGGCTCGGAGTTATCCCGGACAATTATTTGCATTACGTCACCGACTCTCCAAAGTCGAGGTCGCCTATAATTTATTCACGGTAGTCGGGAGGGCCTGGGCGGGGAATCAAATAGCTATCGCGATAAGAACGGGAATGTCGCTGCCGATCTCACTGTTTTTGAGCTTTGTGAAATGGCGGAGTTCGTCAAGAGAGGTAGTGTGCAGCTCGTTAAGCGTAGCAGTGTACAGATCAAGCAAGCTGCGAAGGAAGTCCGAGGTTCGTAACGTCTCTCGCCATGGTACAGTGAGTAGGTGCTCCTCTTCGGCACGTGGGACGACCCCAAAAGAAAAATACACCTTAGGAAAAAAAAAAAAGAAAAAAGAAAATTATGGGATCAAAGTACTGAGAGATGTTGTTCTTTTCCCCCCCTCGTGAACATATTTAGAAGAAGCCCTTGCGAAAATGCGACATCACCAATATTTAAATCACCGTTGATTACCTAACCGTGGAAGCTCCCAAGTGAGATGTATAATTTCGATGATTAATGCGAAAACGCTTGAAATAAATTCGTTTCCGATTTGATCCGGTTTGAAGACGTTGGTGAGGAGGTATCGATCCCATTTCGATCGAACACGTGTCGATGTGAAATGAGTCTGCAGAAGTCGAAGTCATGTGACGAGCACGTCGTCTCACGTTAATAGTCAAAAATGATCGTACGATGATTACGTTGTACAGAGATCGTAAAGGTGGATCGACTACGCGCGAGGAAATAAAACGTAGGCAACTGTCAAAAGAGTTTACTCAGACGACCAGATTCCGCCAGATTTTCCCGGTCAAGATGATGAAACTTCAAGTTAATGTCAACAGACCTGCTAAAAGTGTTCCTCGGTATCTGATGTCCTTAAAACACTGAAACAGGAACTCCACTGGGTAATTTCAGTGACAACATGGACTGAGAATCATCATCCACGTGTGCGATAAAAACCGTCTATCTTTAAAGGGGCTCTAAGGACCTCAGGACATCGGGAAAGACGAAATTCCGGCCGAGCGGGTTATCAAAATCAAACAACCGTACAACGAAAATGTACCGGCACACAACGATAACGTGATTGATAAGAAAAATTACGATTTTAGCGCAAACAATCGCTACGCAAAATTTCCCACTAACCCGGCGCCAGATTGCACAATATAGTAACAACGTAAAAAGAAGACCGAAAGTGATGCGAGAGAGTTAAATTTAGACCGACATCCGTTGCCGAAAATGTTCCCAAAACAGTCCGTCCCGCGGAATTTCGCCAAATCATCGGGACCTCGATCTCCTTCCGACTCCTTCCTGTAAGTGAGAGGAAAAATTCTGAAATCCGTTTTCGCGATTTCAGCGGCTGTGCGAGCGCGCCACATTGTGGCATCGCTCGTTGCAGTGGGATTTGCTCTTTGCGGTGCGGTGGAAGTCAGCTCGTCGGTGGCACTGTTGGCCAATCAGAAGGACAATCATGCCATCATCGATACGTCCTGGCATTGTGACATGCTGGTCAACATCAGTAGCAGGAACCGAACCGAGGACTTCGAGTTCATCCTCCTGGAGGTGAATCCTTAATATCCCCTTTATTAAGAATTTCTGTAAAAATTAGAAGAATACCATTCACAGATTAATTCCAGTGTCCATGCTTTCTTGGTATAGGGCATTTAATGTAGGTACTAGATGGAAAAGGAAACGATTCCTCCCACCTCGCGAAAAGTACGATAGAAAGCTGGGATAATTTAATGAAGAATTTTTGTACGCCTAAGTTTTCGTTAATTTTGGGATTTTCAGCTGCCGCAAGAAGAACGCGCCGAGTCCATCATGCGCGAGGCCTTTCTATGGGGCCAAGTGGCAGGACCAATTCTGGGAGGATGTCTGGTATGGGGCCGATCAGGACCCTCCATGGTGTTCTCCCGAGCAGTCCTTAGCGCCTGCCTGGCGTCCCTCCTGGTACCTGCAGCGTGGAGAGGACCTTCCCATGTTGCCCTTCGACTCTTCCAGGGACTCTGCACGGTATGTCACCTTTTCGAGACTTCCTCTCGGATTCCCTCATAAACCCCGAAATTCGACAAAGGACCCTTTCAGGGAGCGACGATGCCTGCGGCGCACATGCTTGCCATGACGTGGTTCAAGAGCAACGACAGAAGTTCCTACTTCAGCTGTTACGCGGGTAAGTCGGAAATCTTAATGCTCGATAAATTAAAAAATAATCCTCAAGACAGAGGATTACCTTAATAATGGAATTCTAGGACACGGAAAATGTAGACTGGCGTGCAGACTAGAAATTCTAATACGCGAGAGTGCACACGGTTTACATTCTCAGGTCTACGGACTGAATTTCTAATCCCACTACAATCTATGATAAGAAGCAGAGCATCCGATAAGAATGGTCGCGCAAGGTCTTTGGAACACTGTTTCAAGTTTCAACGTGGAGACTCTGCCCCAGCATCTTGGATCTCGTTTTTATCTCTTTCTTCTTGGCCATTCTGGCCCTTGTAATGGCGAATTGGCAGTCGAATTTAAATTTGAAAAAATTTCTATAGTTCAGTTTCTCCCAAGACCTCATAAAATGTTAATATAACAAGCGTGTTAATATTCAACATTAAGTGATTAATTGTTGAATCAAATGTTGACAGCTGTCAGCGTGGGATATTGCGTGACCGGATGGCTAGGTACTGCGGTGGTGCGTTCGCTCGGAAGGGACTCGTTATGTTACGGTCTCGTAATCCTCGCCTTGTGTTGGTACTTCACCTTCGGTCGTTTCGTCAAGGATACCCCGAAGTCATATCAACACGACACAAACGTAAGAATTCCCGGGTGTCAATGGTGCGCTTTACCGATAAGGCCTTTATTTCGAGACTCATCAAAGTGAATGGAGACGGTTCCCACCTTTCTACGAATCAATGTATGATTTTGCTATCGAAATAGGCGGCAGTGATACCGTGGGGAAAATTACTAAGATCCGTCCCCGTATGGGCTTCAGCTGTAGCCACTATGGGGAACCAATGGGGCGACGCGACCCTGGCTCTGGGCATGACCAAGTACCTCAAGCTCATCTACGGATTCTCCACAGCTAACGTGAGAATTTCAAATTATCTTTACGTATACATGACCCGATTCAGTTAGTTTAAACCGTTAATTAATTACCTATTACAACAGGATTCGGTGCTGACCACGTTACCGCACATTGGGCACTTCATGGCTGCCCTCACTTGCGGTCTCCTGGTGGACCACGTCCGGGAATCTGAGATAGTTTCTACAACAACAGCGAGGAAATTAGTCGTGTACACGGGTAAGGATTGGCAATGCTTCGAGATAACGTTAAATACCTTAAAACGATCACGATGATCATGTACAACAAATGTTGGCTCACCTTTAGCGCACTTCATCCCAGCTGCTCTCCTCTTCGTCGCTGGGTACGCAGGTTGCCAGGCACTAGGTGCAGCCTGGCTGGGGATCGCAGCTCTTCTGGTATCCGGGACTGCCCCTGCAGGTGCACTTGCTGCAATTGCGGACCTTGCACCTGAAGAATCTCCTGCTTGTGCAGCAGCGGCCTGCGCCCTCTGCTCCACCCTCGGTGCAGCGGGATTGCTCGCAGCAAATTATTTTGTCACTCAGGCTCTTCATGGCTCTGTAAGACTAATTGTGTACAGCACTAAATCATTAATAATTGGGATCACTTTGTATACGTATATTTTCTAATTGGAAACCTTACATTGTAGATCGCGGGGTCATGGAGACTGGTCTTCGGTGTAGCATCCGTGGTGTTGCTGACGACGGCTGCTGTCTTTTTGGCACTTGGCAAAGGTGTACCTCAACCATGGATTCCATCAGTTGCACGACCCAGAAGTCATGACGTCATTTACGAGCAGGACGCCCTGGAACTGGACTACGAGGACGTCGGCGTGCAGACTGAGCCTTTCAATCCTTACAGAATCGACGAGGACGAGGAGAGTCTTCATGGTGGTCCCCGATCTGTTTCGGTACATTCCAATGACTCCATTGTCTCGATCTGAGTATCAAGATCACTTCAAGAATTCTGTTTCTCACGAAGTGGTGTTTCGTTTTGACGTGAATCATCAATGACGATGATAGATGATGAATGACTCGGTTGCAAGTAACTTAAACCGAGACCGAGTAGAAGTGCTTCGATGACGGAAACAAAGTTCGACGTTTCAGAAATATTCATTTGAGATGATTCAAAGATCGACGTTGAAGACTTCTGAAGAAGTAATTTTTTTAAAGGATGACACCCTGGACATCGAATGATCTTGTCACAGAACGTTGTAAATCTCAATTTCCAGGATTATGTTCCCTGGAATGGATACCAAGTAATTTTATTATCAATGTACAGATAGTCACTATCTGTATTAAGTATCTTAGAGAAGTATAGCAGCCTACCACCGTTCGCTGACATTAAAAAAAATATATACATATATAATTATTCAAGCTGAGCAAGTGAACCATTTTTATACGTATTTCCGATATCATTACGGGAAACTTTCTATTATTAAACCTGTAAAACCTGCGACTACCGTAGAAGCATAATTTTTATCAGTACGCCCTGTAACTAGTAATGATCAGGGGAATCTTTATTTATATGACGCGTCAAGGGAAGACTATTTGCACATTGACGTATTACCATTTAATAATATCTAAGGTATAGAATTTCTTATACAGTGAGAAATACGAATACATATAGTGTAAATATACATGCACGGCGTTACTAGCCATAAACTTATCGTATCGACGTTACCTCGGATTTAAATAAACGAATCTTTGTTAAGTTGTAAATACCGTAATTCAGGTCTTTGGCGAGTTCCCGGATGCTGTTCTTTGTATTAATTTTCTTTGGTAGGTTATTCGACAAGACCAGATATTTACAAAAATCAAGTTTATTCATCAATTTTATAGATATACACCTGTTATGTAGAAAGTTTCATCATCGTTTACACATTTAGAACTCGATGAGGCATCTTGTCGATTGCCGTTGTATAGTACAAGAGTCCTTCCAAAGAGCTTGTAATCGACCGGGTGCCTCATTGAGCTTACATCAACCACGAGGTGTACTTTTATTGGGTCGGGTATTTAGAAACACTATTTTATAACGTTATTCTGTTTATAATCATTTTAATCTTGACACTTAAGTCTTACCGGTACGGTAGTATAGATGCTATATGAATCTGTTTCGTTGAATGTCACTTAAAAGTGGTGGTCGCTTTTATTGCTCCGGAAGTAAAGCAACATTTAGCGATTACTTAATATATCGCTGTAAATATCGGTTATGACATCGCGTAACTATTTCAGTTAACATACATACGTTCCACGAGAAATTAGCTTCCAGGGTTTACATTTATTGCGGGTAATTCACGGTTTAAACAAGTCCATTACTTGCGAAAAATGCGGCGTGTATCGCAAAATGTTGATTTCCTTCTTTTCGACGAGCACGACCCCCTGTCTTTTTCTTCAAAGTCTCATAACTATTGTACACGGACAAACATTGGTTATCTCCTTAGGTCATATGAAATTGTCGTTAAGGTCTTCTCAACTTATTAAAGGGTTACGTTTAACTATGGCAGTATGTAGATAGTATATATGAAAAAATTATACTTTAAAAAGAAACATGTTAAGCAGTAGAAAATGACGTAGTTTGTACCTAAGCAACCTGAAGAAAATAAAGCAAATTTGTCATATACTTTGCAAAAATTGCTGGTATCCAAGGAGAGAAATGGCTCTTACAATCACTAATTGATTCTGAATATTCAAAAACGATAATAAATGAACTCTACCCGAATTAGAATTGATTTTTAAAAAACAAGAATAATTCTTATATCTAAACAAAACTTTCTGCATCTGAGAAATTACACAATTAATTACTCAAATATTTGCAAATGGTACCAAAAGGCAAAATATGGCGTTAAAATGCAAAATGCATACAGCTTTTAGGCCTTTCAAATTAAGTTTTGCCTCGCTCGATAAATTTCCATTATTGTTCTGTTCAAGAATCTATTGCCAGAAATATAATAATTGTTCTGATAATGACCATATAGCAGGTCCGAGCTACGTTTTGCGAGGTTGCTGTTTTTTATTCAATTATGACTATTTTTCTATACACATGGCTCTGCCATGTGGTCATTAATGATTCCGATAATTAATAGAATTGTATAATATATATAGATGACATATATTTAATTTAAAACCTGCCCCACACAACACATAACACCCTCAATATTTCCAGTGCATGTTAAAAACTGTCAAAACATGTCAAATCCTTTAGAAACATCTATCGAATGTTTATATGTTGTATGGGTTTAACATCTCATTCTAATTATCAATAGTATTTAACTTTTTAATCGTTAACAAATTCTCTGTAAAGACGTTCAAACAATAAGCCACTGCCTCACGGAGTAGCTTTAAAATAAAATCATGTGTACATAAGTATATAAATTATTTTTTCTATCTAAATGTTGTTAATATGTTTTCTCTAAGCAGCAATGTTTCTGTGATATACAGTTGCAATATTGATGTTTCTGAGTACGGCCTTTAAAGGCTCTATGTTGTTTATATGCTGATATCATTTTTTCGAGGATTAAGTGCCATTCGCAAAAGAAATAATAAATATTCGGTGATATTTACAATATTGCTTGCACCTGGTCTGCTGCTAAAAGAAAACATTAACTGGCACCAAATAGTCTTTCACGATCGAACGAAATTATTTACAGCAGAATTTATTATGTACGGACTCGACGTAGTAACTTATATCGGATGTTCACTCGAACATATCAATAACAAATGTGTGCGGTAACGACACAGTAATATATTCCACTTTTCCTTAAATTAGTTAGCCTATCGCATGTAAACACATGTACATTTTTTTTCATTACTGCACATCTTTACATTTGTATGTTATCCTCGTAATTACAACCGGAAGTTTCTTTACAGACGCTTCGGAAGAAACTAAAGTATTATTAATGATGAGTTCCATCGGCAATAATTATACAAGTGTTGTAACGCTGCAGCATTTCAGGCCTTATAGCATGTACAAGTCACAAACCATTGAAGCAATTAAACGATTGAAATTTAAATATTCTTTCGGAAAGGAGCGAAACGAATGGCACGTTCAACGGAGATAATTTAAGTACATAAAGTTGGTGAATTTTTTAGCATGAATAATGAATAAAATATACAACTTTAGTGGTTGTAAGTATTAATAATTGATCGATGTTACATAGGAATATTTTGCAGAAAAATTAGACATGTCTTTTGAAGCAGTATTCAACAGTAGACTCTTTTCCTGTGTTGTTTCCACTTGCTTCGCTAATATCTTCTTCATCCTTAAACTTTTCTTAACGCAAATTCAAAACAGCTGATCGCGCACCATACAGTGATCATACAATGGACTCTACGGACGTATCATTCGCCTTTAATAATGATAGCTTTTGAAAAATGCAATCACTACTGAAAGCGGAAATGTAGAATTGCCATAGAAACGATAGACCTTACGAACCTACGTAATGTAAATATCTCGTTACAGAAATAAACTCGTTTTCACATTATTTTCTGGCAGGGTAATTAAGCTCGTAGGAAACACGACAGCCTCACAACTCTGCGAACTGCTTTGAGTACAACCTTAATCAAACGTCGTCAAACTTGTTCGGCTTTTATAAATTTAACGCTCTCTTTATCGCCCTTATTTTCTCTCGTTTTTTTTTTATTTATTTCAATGAAACCCTTATTTGTAAATGAAGGCAAAATGTGTTCAGTATGTAAGTTCAATCGAATCATAGACACATTCACAAAATATCTTGCCATGTTGCTTCACCGTATGTGAATAATATTCATTTATGCATGTACAGTACTATTATTCAGTATTTATATTAGATAACTATCATCGTGTTTACATCCGTGACGTGTCACCGCGTTTCTCTTATTTAATCCCATTATTTTTTGTTCGCGCGTTCTCGTCGATACTCCTAAAATACATGGTTAAACGAAACGATCTGCGACGCGACGGAACTTTCATTAAAAATAATCTATTTAGGTATGCTAGTATGTGAACGAACGTAATGAGCGTAGCTTATAGGTGATTGGCAGTTTTTATAAAACTTCTTCTTTATCTATATATTAATATTTGTGATGTTTATGTCAACGTCGCCCGTCTCCGTGAGACTCATCTTGGACATGTGTTCATTTCTTGCTAAAATCCGCGGAAACAGATGAACGTAAAGTGGCGGGTCAACAAAGTACTTAATTTCATTGGCAATTATTCTGTACATCTATATATCTGCTAATCATCCCGAAGGAAGCCAACGAATTGAAAGATATTAATCGCAAAGTCATTATAAATCAATCCTTTCCGACATAGAGACGACAATAAATATTTGTAAAAAGTCATATTGTGAACGTAATTTACGGTTAGTAATCAATGACAACCAGTTTATCTTGTTCCTCGACAAAAGTTGACATGGCCTTAAAAATTCATGCCAAAATCGAAAATTGATGACCTAGGTCCGTGGAAGATCAAACCAGGCGCTTCTCCCTTATCAGGACCTTCGATCCCTCGCGTTGTTCTAGTTGTCGATAAAAATCTAGTTTGTCTGTTTCCTCCTAAAATCGCGTTAGTACCATTAAGTCGAGCTACCTTTGGGAACCAGTCGCGATACCAAAACCGTCAAGCGCGAGCCTTAAAACGTCGTAACGTGACGCACCGTAAGAACAAATGTTTTACACGCGCACCCTTCAAACTTTATAATAAATATCCACCTCACCGCGAACCGCAGTGGAACAAATACGATTACGCACGTCTTCCTTAATTACAAACATATAACGTGAGCAATAAAAGTTGAGTCGGCTACTTCAGGCCTGGCCCAGTCTGCGCCGTGTCGATGCAGAACATTTAGAATTTCAGTGGGTATGAGAGACACGTACCTTCCCTTCTTGTATTTTTTTGTTTCTTTCTTTCATTAAGTGAAAATATGGCCCCTTTGTTACAGGCTCGATGTAGCGCAGAGAAACGTATTATTTTCTTCCTGAGTCTGCAACAGGCAACTTCGAGTTTCGGCGACCTACGTGCGCGCAAGCGGTCCCCATCTATCCGGTCGCACCGGCCTAGAAAAATCCCCCAAGATCCATCTCTTCGCCCTCTCCCCCGAATTTAGCAACAAATAGTTCGCAATTTCCCCATAACTCCGCTGGTAAAAAATTTCCAAAAAGTGACCCACCCGATTTTCCCGAGCTTCCGATTCTTTTCACGGGTTCGACGTCTGCGAGTCGCATATGGACCACTTTCCACGATTAAAAATCATCACAAGGTCCAGGACCCAGCTCCCAACCGAGGAGAGCCACCGCGCACGCAAGTGGGCCGAGTCCTTCGACATCGACGAGCTCTCTTCCGTCCTGTACATTACTTCGCATTCGAGTTCGGACCACCAGTCCCTAAAGTAATCAGTTCCGTCTAGTTCGATATCGTTCGGGGATCGCCCAGCGACGTGGATATACGTAGTCGACAACGAGGAGCCGTCAGGGCTTCGCGCGACGCGGAACTCAATACACAATGCAACCCCATAAGCTGCGCGTCCGATTTTCGCAGCCCTGGAACGGGATGCACTCGCAGGGGTGCACGAGTCGCGAGTCTTGGAACCGCGGATACGAGATGCGCATTATTTAGGCCCGTATTTACATATTAGGCCAGCTCGATGCGTACGTGGAGGGTGCGTCCTGGCTTACATTACGAGAAACCCAGGCTAAGCCGCTTAATTGGCAATCTCTCTCACTTCCTCCAGGAGCCAGTCCTCCCGTTCCCGCCCTCGTAGCAGACCGAACCCCGCCAAGACCCCGGTCTTTCGGGCTCGCTTCCGGTCTGTGGCTTCCGGTAGACCAAGACACCGATGGCCGCCCCTCAAAGACTCGTCACGATGTGTGGTTTGGCAGTGGTGGAGGCGATCTCGGAGAGTCGGACGTCGATCGGCATGCGATCGTCGTAGAGGGTCGGGGCTTGCAGAATTATCCCTGCCGACCCGACCACCACGGCTAGCGTGAAGATCAGGAGGAACAGCCTGTCCATCACCATGGCCACGTACTTCCACTCCTCCTTCACCTGGGAATCGAAAGATAATATTTAAGACGGAGTCCATCGTGTGCCGGTGGAGCAGCCCGAGCAAACGTCCGCCCTCTGCTCCGACGATCCTCGAATAGGTTCTTCGGGGACGGTTTCTCCCGATTATCTAGCATACCCTTGTGGAATCCTCTTCCCTTTTCGTGTGGTCGGCGATGAATCGAATGCCTTCTATGGCTTTGTAAAGTTCCGGGCAGTGGTGCCAGTGATTGAGCGTGTTGCAAAGAGCTTCGACGCTCTTCGGCGTAGGAAGTTGTTGCGTGGATGTGGACGCAACAGGAGACCCATGGATGCGGCAGGTGCTGCCCAGGTTGACCGCCTCCAGTTCGCTGGAAAAATCGAGGAGAAGGTACTTACGAGTCACTTTTTCAGAAAGTAGGATTTTCTGATACCCAAACTTATGCGCTATCAATTTTTAAGGAATTTTAGATCCACTTCTACGAGGCTAGCGCTATCTCGGCGAGGGCACAGAGTAATATCCATCGCCGTTCGTGAAAGGAAAATAACAACAATTGTTTAATATAGCACAATTTGGAAGGACTTATACCGCGGATTCAGTTCGTCTCTCGAATTCAAGCTTGGGAAGAGAACGGAAGATTCCGCAAGCTCGGATGCTGTGGCCTCCACGAAGAGAGAAGGATCTCTAAGCTCGAGACCATTACACGTTCTGATCATGACGCGATGGGCATGGTCGGCTGTTATACTTTGTTTATTTGTCTGGTAGTGCGGCCTGCAAATAATTAAACCAATGTATTTATGCAGCGTTACACAAAATGAATCTCCCGTCGTGGCTTTCTATCACCTGAAGGAAAATTCAATTTCTTACGAGAGTACTTCTAAGCAAATAGACCAGTTACCTGCGCATTGCTAACAATCTAGGTAGAATGTGTATAAACACTCGTCGGATCCATGGCGCCATGATGTGAGTCTGCGGTGAGCGGAAGTGCACGTTCAGAACTATCACCGTAACGCATATGCTGAAAAAGAACTAAAGTCACTCCCATTTCCACGTCTGAGAATTTAATCACCATAATGTTCACGATCTCACATGCGTGTACAGTCAAAGGTCTCCCCGACTCGTAGTCTCTTCCCTCGAAATCTCAGGAATGATCAATAATTCAGAGGCCCGGGAACTTACCTGAACGTGTCGAGGATCATGGTGAAGAGGACGAACTTTCCCAAGAGAGGTACCACCAGCGACGTTGGTGGGATGATTTCAGCCAACAACAGGAAGAACACAGTCAGCGACAGCAAAATGGAGATGGACAAACTGACCTGGAATGAATCGACGATTAAGGAAAGAAGCGATGTATTTGAAAAATGTAGGTACTTGGATCCTCTGGTAATAAAGTCAATTTTGCCCTGTCCTACCCTATTCCCCGTCAGACGCGGTAGCATTAAGTTGAACTACAAAGTGCCCTCAAAGAGCGACGCGGCAACCCACTTTTCGGTACACAGGATTTTCCGATATAAGCCGCTGGTCATTTTGTCGGTCCCAGAAGAGGATCCCGAAGGAAGGGAAGTCTCTCGAGGGAGGTATAGGGCGTTTCGTGATCCGGCCTAAATGCGCCGACCTTGATGGACCGTGTTAATGGAGCAGGCATCAACGGCGTTAGGGGTGGCCGTGTCATCGGGGCGCACCTCCGGAAGACACCCCCGTTGTCTATGTACTTCGGTTGGAACAATTGGAGAGGGTATTGTCTCGCAGCCTCGCATTGATCTACATACGTAAGCCGGTGCCGTAGGGCTGGCGCGGTCGTGGGAAGAACGGGCGGATAAGCGGCCGCGTTCTGACTCCTGACCTTCTCCGAGGTGTAGAGACCGGAGACAAGGTGGAAAGAAAGGGACTATAGGTATAACCGAATTATAGAGCCAGCTCCTGGCTCTTGGAATATCGGCTCGAGGTCGAGAGACCGTGGAATGGAGGTCGAGGGATGCCGACTTATTGTACTCCGAAGGAGGGACTCTTCTGCCGACCCTGGACCTCCCGGGTGACCCAAGATTCATCCGATACTCTTCGGCATCTGTCGATGGAGTTTCCTGCGAGAAACAGCCCCTTCCAGTGCGACTTCCGGATGGAAAGTGACTTTTAATCGAGTAGAATACCGATAGAGACTCGGACCTTCTTAGATGGTTCAGAGAACGGTGGAACTCGACGATGGAATCGCAAGGAAAAGATACGTCTAAGCTGAGATGATTAGATTTTTTTTTATTTTAATCTCAAATTCTCTAAAAACATCACATCTTGAGATGTCGTCATTCAATAATTATGGATATCTTCAGTTTCGTCCAACGGTCTCCCATGTCTACTCCTCCGGATTTCCTGCAAGATCCACTTTTCTTCCGGTCCAACTTCCGGGTCGAAAGGAACTTTAAACAGGTTAGAAGGTGTCAGGAAGAGCACCTACCCTTTCGGGGCAGTCTGGAAAACGTCACGATCGGAAAAATGTGTTAGAAATTCCCTCCATTTTCAGGACGCCCAAGAACGTGTGGGGGGTTCTAACTCAGTGAGATAAAAGTCACAGGAAATCGGTGCCTTTTCCGGAACCCTGTAATTTGGCGATCGAATTACCCGGGAACCCTATAATTTGGCGAGGAGGGATCGTATACGGCATGTTCATTACTTAACTTCTACTTCTGCCAAACACTCTTCGACATCTGCCGAGCCGAGTTTGTCACGAGGGGCACTCTCGGCAAGCACAACTTTCGAGCCGGGAGAAACTTTAAACCGATAAAAGGAAACCCTCGAAGAGTGGTATTCTTCCGGGAAGATCTGGAGAACACTTGTAATCTGCCAATTGAATTATCGAAGTGTACTTTATAAGACGCAGTCATTAATTCATCCCCTGTTTCCTTCCGCGCTCCCCCGATGTACCACTCCTGACCTAACCTAATTACGAAACGCACCTATCCTCTTTACCTCCTACATAAATGAGATTTTCGATACCAACGATGTGTCCCATAAAAAAGTTCCCTTCATCAAAATTTATCGCCACAAAATAAGGAACAACTTTTATTTGAAGTACTTTTCGAAATTATGCATCGTTGGGATAAAAATCGCACTTTTGTTCTTGGGGTAGAAGGGGCCACCAACCTTTTCGCCGCTGTCGCTCGGCAGATAGAAGACCAACACCGTCAGGAAGGATATCCCCGTGCAAGGTATTATGAGGTTGACGGTATAGAAAAGGGTCTTCCGTCTCATGGTGATATTGAAGGTTATATCGAGATAGGGCTCGTCACAGCACGTATAAAACTTTTCGTTTCTGAAAAGAATCCCAGCCGAGCGGTTAGCCGTCTCTGAAAGTCCGCACACGCGGTGACACAAAGATCGATAAGACGTGCAAGAGATACGAGAGATATACAGGGAAATTCGACGTGGAAAGTGACGAGTTCGATTCTTCTTCCCTTCCACTCGAGCTTGAAATGCCTTTCTGTCTGGTCCTCGATGTATATCTGCATCTCATGCACGCCTTTCCAAACACCCGAGAAAAGTGCGAAAAATGCCCAAAGAAACCACATCCCCGTCAGATTATCCATTCTCCAAATTTTCTGTGAATTTTAAAATAACATTTATCTTTGCCAACACTTAGGCAATGAATATGTCAAATATATAAGTGATATGTTAATGGTTGAACAAAAATGAATGTGAAAATGATGATTTTATTTAAGATTAAAAAAATTCATCTTGCAGGTGATAGCGAAGAGTTATCATTGGATAACGCCAATAAAAATTTATTCTCGTTATTCCCCGTTGAAATGGTTTAATCCCTTGGGTAAATTCGGAGAGAGGAGCAAGTTCCATCCCGGAAGGATGCAATTATTTTCCTTCTATTTAACTTTTCTATTTACTATTCGAATTACCTGACGGCTGGAACCTCGAGAATGTCCCACTCGACGGAAGTGTAGAACTCCGACAAGTCCACCCCGATCTCCACCACGTTGCTGCCACGAATTTCGTCGATGTGCCTAAGATCGACCTGTGGAATGAAAACAATTGATTACGCTTAACAGCCGATCGGGAAAAAAATGAACCCCTTTGAAATAATGAAAAGCCCCGCAGTTTCCCCGAGCCGAGGAAGCTCCGGGAATTAAATATGCAGGCTTATAATTCTTTCGTAATTTTATTCATAAGGGGAGGAATTAAATTTCCGAATGTCGAGGGGCTGAAACTCGCAAAATAGCCGAGGAGTTCCTCGTGTGGTGCATTCCGTGAGTGTTACCCATTCTTTACGTTTGCCCCTGGCGGATTTGCTGAAACTTTTCCATCCTACGTTTTTATGCAGGCGCCTCACCCCACTTATTCAAGTTATGGTTCCATATATTTTGGGCGTGCTTAAAGAGTAAAGCATTCCTGAATTTCGGATAAACAACCTATCCTGAGACGTCCACGTATAACAAGGCTTCTTAAAATTTCATTATCGCTTCCTAATTCAATATGTAACGTTTGATCCACATAATTGTTAAATCACCCCGGGAGCTCCAACGATGTTTCGGGGACATTTTGGAGGGCTTTATTAATTTATTTGTTGCTTCAATCTATGAATCATGAGATCGGTTTACCTGGAAGCCGTCATACGTCCACGAGCCGAATTTCATGACGCAGGTTTGCTCGTCGAATGGGAAGTACTCGACGTCGATTTCGCAGGAAGACTTGTAAATCGCCGGAGGTTTCCACTCGACCCTCCCTGTATAGTTTAAAGTCGCCTTAGTGGCCAACGTCACCTCGAAGTTGCCGTCAGCACTAAAAATGAAGTTTAATAAAACGCATGTAAAAATTAAAAAATACTTGTGGACGCTATTTATGGCCAAAAAGAACCATCGATATCATCATCACGCGTCGTGATCGCACGTTAATAATAATAATTTCTACCACATATATAAAACTTAGTTAAATCATAAACATCCTTTTACATAATAAAATCGGGAAAATAATCGACATACTTGTTGTATAAAACTATATCGGGCCTCCAGATGTGATCGGACGGTACATGAAGCATTTCCACCCCGCCATACTCCTTTGGATCCCATTTCAGCTTGTAATCGTACCAAGACTGGAAGAAAAACCAAAATGCACTTAAACATTGCAATTGTCCGATGACAACTCTATACTGACGAGACTCCTGGAAAATATCCATAACGAAATCGTTTATCTAAAATTATGTAGAGATGAAGCAGGCTGTTTTGCGATTTATTACCGCGGTATCGAAGAATCTTGGGGTTCAAGAAACGAGACATACTTGCCGAGTACTTCGAAAGGAAAAGTTTTCACTTGCAATTTTCACGCACAAGCGCCGAGGGGTGGAAATTCGATTCGTCACGGGCTGACCTCGCCGTTCGTCTCCACCTGAACCTAAACATCTCAAAGTTTGTCCCTATCGTCCCGTAAGGGGTTTAAGCTTCCTTCCAAGTCTTGCATTTCCTTCGAGAGTTGAGCCCGCGGCGCTTGCTAACTTGCACGTTTTCCCAGGGAACGGCATCGCCCTGCTGACGACAAGTCTGTGTCGCGGACACGTTGTTCAATAAAACGCGAATGCATCGAGCCGAGAGCCCTCGGGAAACACGTCAATGGAGAAGTTGCACTTCAAAGTTCCGAACGAAAGGTTCTGAGAAGGATCCGACAAATTTCAACGTCCTTCCCAGAGAATTTGATAAACAGTTCCTGACCTTAAAAAAAGTCTGCAGAAGTCTGATATGCTTATAGAATGTATGACGATGCCTGATGACTTTTTCCGTACAATAGAAACGTCAGGCGTGAAACCCCCTTTCCAGAAAATTTGATAAACCAGGTATTTCTAATTTAAATTAAACAATGAACTAAAATGCCGCATCATACAGTTTATTATAACTGATGGTTTTTTACATACAGCGAAAGGATCCGTCAAATTTAATCGTCCCTTGCACGGAATTTTATGAGTTCTAAATCTTTCTAACCGAAACAAGGATCAACTAAAATTTGACAAGCTTATACAATTTGTAATAATGGCTGATGATGTTTTACGTATTCATCAAGGGAGTGAATTTAATTAATTTTAGTGACCATTTCTATCCTGAGAGAAAACAACAAATTCATTGGACCAAAGAAATACTTTATTAATGCAAAGAATAATTATTTTACTCAAATAAAGTGAAATGAATCGTCGTAACTCCGAAGAAAGGTTGCAAGCAATTTATTCGAGCTTAACCGAGTGAAATTATTCTTTGAATTATCAAAATATTTCTTTGATACTATTCAAAGAAATATTTCCTTGAACATTTTTTTCTCGGTAGACTTCATTTCCTGGATGGTGCCCACGTCGGCGAATATTCCGCAAAGTTTGGTCTCTCGGACCTCGGTGCTGGTCATTACGTTCTTTAACTCCCTCCGCCAGTGCGGTTACACATTACATTGCACCTCGACAAAGTGCCCACGATCGCCACAGACTTGACGCCGGTGTGAAGTTCGATGCTTGCGGTCCCCAACGACGGGAGCACCAATATTTGCCGTGTGTGTCCAGCATTAGGAGGAGGTCTGTGCGAAAGCACTTCGACCGTGCAAACAGAGACGTCACATGAGAGATGCTGCGCCGGAAGTGCACCGGGTACCGGAAAGTAAGCCACGCCGGTCCCGAAGCGGGATGGATCGCGGCCATTACTCACGATTCGGGGCCTTAAACAAACTGCGTGGATCTGACCCTTATGCAAACGACAAGAAGATATATGACCGCGGAATGCAGCCCGGCGAAAGAATTTCCCGTATACTTTTTGCGACGCTTAAACCTCCCTCCGGAAGTCCTCCGCAAGGTGCATACAAATTCTGCGGCTCCCTCGAAACGCACGAAATTTGAAAAACTCGGAGAATTCGGGGCAGTACTAATTTTGGAAAATGTTTAAAGTTATTTCTTAGGCTAGGGAGAAAAGACTCGGGTCGACAATCGGCGAGAGCGCGATATCGAGCTTCGTCCCAGAGGTGTCTTGAAACAACCCCGATAAGAGCACGCCACCTAAATCGAGTTCTCCCCCGGCATAGTCCAGCATGCAAAACGTTTGGAACTCGAAGAATGTAGGGAAGTACTAATTTTGGAAAAAAAGTTTGAAGTTATTTCTTAGGGTTGGGAGAAAAGACTCGGGTCGACAATCGGCGAGAGCGCGATATCGAGCTTCGTCCCAGAGGTGTCTTAAAACAACCCCGATAAGAGCACGCCACCTAAAACGAGTTCTTCCCAGGCATAACCCAGCATGCAAAACGTTCGGAACTCGAAGAATTTAGCGAAGTACTAATTTTGGAAAAAAGTTTAAGGGAGTATTTTAGGGTTGCGAGGGGAGGCTCGGGCCGACAATCGTCGAGGGCGCGATATCGAGCTTCGTTCCAGAGGTGTCCTAAAACAGGCTCGATACTTGCACGCCATCTAAAACGAGTTTTCCACGGCGGAACATTTACCCTTACATAATCCAGTATTCGAAAGTGGGTTGCACGGCTCAGCGAAGCTATTTTGCGGCTCCCCAGCGGAACGTCCATCTTCTCGTTTCCATGACACGTCCCGGCGACTCGCGGCCGTTTATCGGCGAAAATACGGGGAAAAATCGAGCCAAGCAGCTTCTTGCTCCCAACCCCGGCAGGATTGTCCGCCAAGACGTCTTTGCGCGATACCGGTGGTCGCCTTTCTCGCTTTCCCGAGATTCTCGGCGGAATCGAGGAAGACTCGAGGAGAAGGACTCGAGGAAGACTCGAGGAGAAGGACTCGAGGAAACCGCGGCTCGGGCGAAAATCGCGAAAAAATGGCGGCTCCCCCGATCGATCTGTCGCGCTCGGCGGTGCAATGAAAAACAGGGATAAACGACTTTTCGTGGGCGACGAGTCGCCCTGAATAATGGAGCCGGCACTTAGCGGATAAGCGTTTTGCTACTCCGACGCCCGGCACGTACCGGCGGCCCGAATCGATGGAATAATTTTCATCTTGACGCCGCACGCGGCGGGCTTAACTTGGAGCTTAAGTTAAACAAGCACTAATGCCCCGGCTCGGGAAATTTCGTTATACCCTGCCCCTCCGGAAACTTCCCGAGGAATCGAAGTTTCCTCGGCCGACCTTTCGACGGCTCGCCGTTGTCGCGGCTAAGAGCCCGAAGTGTCGTCGAAGCTTTTTCAGGGATCCCTCGCGGCCTCTCTCTCGCTCCGCCGCGAGCCGGCATGCGCCTCTCTCGCTCCCGCGCCTTGGGCCGCGCGCCTCGAAGGGACTCCAAAGACTGAGAGTGACACGCCGATGAGAAAGGGAAAAAAGGGAGCCTGGATTTCCAGAAATTTAACTCGAAAGTGCGACTCGGAGGAACTTCATTTTGGATGGCTTCCTAAAAGCTTTGTAGAAGTGTATGAATTGGATTTCCTGATAAAAAAATTGGGTCATTTAAAAGCAATCCTATCGTTGCATGAAATTCTATCTAGAGCGATGAACGTGCGACCGTGCCACTATGGATATTTGGAAAATCATGCTGAAAATCAAAATCTAGTTTTATCTTGGGAATCGCTTGACTATTATCGTTTCGAAGAAATTATTTACCTGTTCGACCCAAAGGTTAGTCGTCATGATCTGATTCTTCAGGTTCTGGGAAGGAAAAGATGGCAATAATTAATTTCCCCGTGTCCAGAATTTTATGAGAAAATCCTGATTTGAGGAACAGTCGATTACTTACCACGTCGATGAGTTGAGAGAGCTTAAGTTTGATCTTAACGGTGAGGGCGTCTGTGACATTGACCACGGGTCGTACCAACTTGTTGTAATTTGACAGGAGGTCGTCGTACAGTCGTTTTGCGTCTGGATTTCCTGAGCATCCTGAAATGAAAGGATTTCAGGCGAAACTTTTCCATAAAACCCAGAGCGATAATGAGCTTCCATTTGTTCCAACCTCCATTAGACACGAGTTACTGCATGAAAGAGACGTTTTAAATAAATTTTAATTCCCATCTTTTGCTATTTTTTCATTTTATTTTTAACTTATCCCACTCCGCAGGTAATGAGCTCATACGAGGCACACCGCATCAAAGTGCAACTACCTCCGGGAAAAATACGATATTAAATTATCCTGAAAGGTTATTCGTAATGGGTGTCAGGATTCCATATAAAATTGCTATATTAACAAAACACGCGTTTTATCGTGTAATTCTATCATGAAATAACCTGCACCATCTCATGGATACGAAATTCAGATAATCTGTTTAATCAGAAATAAAACCCCCAAATTAAATACGTACTCTTAAAAGTGAATCAGAGTCGTGTATTCGCGGAGGTAAGAGGGAAAATAAAACCCGATAGGGAATAAAAAATACGCAATTTACTTCAGATTCGTTCGGGATCGTCAGATGCGTACAGAGGAGCCGAAGAAAAATATAAAGGGAAGTTCCGAATCAAAAGACAGGGAAGAACTTCCAGAAGAGGAGATGCCTCGGTCGAAAGAACAGCTTTGGCTCGCGATAACCGGAAATAACGAACCGTGAAACCGTCGCAAGCGTAAATTCGCAACAAGGACGGCTGTGCCACATTTTGCAGATATCTTTGATACGTTTATCGTGGTCTGGAACGCAACTTCGAGCGCTTTTTGCAAGACTCGAAACTCGACCATTGCAAAACCAGATGCGACCCGTTCCGAGGATAATTTACAATAATTCCTAAAAGCGCATGTAAATTTATTCCACCACCAGGAAACGAGCTAGCGGGCCCAATCGATAAATTTCCCAGAGTGAAGTTTAATAATTACGAATCTCAAAGTCTCTCTTAAGCGACTTCGGATCTGACAAAAGCTCCCGCCCATGAGACTGTGAGGATCGTATTTAACGGAAGGCCTCGGAAAAAGTTGGAGAAAATTTAATATAATGAAAGGATGAAGAGCGCGAATTAGTTTATTCAGCGGAAAATCGTATCTTGCATTCTGAAGTTTCGGGGGGAAAATGGATAAAAGGGAAGTCCGTGAAAAAGTTGCCGATGTAAGGCGCCGGTTAAAGGAGAACGTCTTTCGAGAAAATGGGACGGGGTATGATATGCGTCAGGTTATAATGGGATTTCGGATTAAAATTTTAAGGGGTTTCCTCTTAAGGAAGTGCACGGCCAGCGCTTAATAAATGTTTCAGAGCGGGCAGGAATTGTTGTGCAAAGTAACCCTAGCAATACAGATCAGGGAGTTAGTAGGACGGGTCGAGCATTTATCCGGCATTGAAAGCTGCATCTAATGGCTAAGTAAACTATTGCAGGGCGAGTCGTGTTTGTCTGAGAGGGCGAAACAACAGTGCGGTTAAATATGTTTCTCCAGTTGGTTAAGTAGAGCATCATGGGGTCTTCCGTAAATACCGTGCCGACGCCCTGAATCGAAATAATACCCTCCTCAAATAATTTACACAAAATAACGAATATAATTAAAATTGTAGTTAAAGATAAAATTGACATTCTATTGTCTTTTCACTTTCGACACTTTTAAGATTTGATTAATAAAATAGGAGATAAGTGGCGTCATTTTGAGAGGTATCTTTGTGTCGTCTGCTTTTACAGAATTTATAGAATCGCCGAAATCTTTTCGTAAGCAGTCGAAGTTGCGGTAAGAATTTACGAAGTAACCTTAGAGCCTGGTCACCCACGAATTACATAGATAACCCATCCGGGAGCGAGTTTCCGGAGTCCCTTGATAAAATGATATTAAACTTCGCAAAGGTAAGAGCGAAAGGGGCAAAACTAGATAAAATGGGAAAGAATATCCTGCCAAGCTTACACGCCTCGTTGCCCCCCGTTTGCCGGCTTCCCTTAGTACCATCCTTCCCTCTGTTTTATTCCCTCGGGATGTTTTCCCGGCGTCCCGAGAAAAAAAAAAGAAACACCAAAAAATCCCCCGCCGAAGGGGTTAAGGATTACGGAAACGAAACGACCCTCGGATCCGTCGATCGAAATCGAATTTCTCAAGGCGGTGGCGACTTCATCGATCGAAATCCAATTGGACCGAGCGCACTTCGACCAGCTCCGCCGAGGATTGATATAACGAGAAACAGATAACCCGCAAATCTGGTCAGTTCGAATCTTGAAAAAAAAATCCAAAATTCCACGCCGACCGCAACTTTCCCCTTCGCCGACGTTTTCACCCCGTACTCGAACGAATACACTGAAATTCCATAATATTAAAAACATTCCATAATATGAAGCCAAAAATGAAAGGTAAATTATTCATAATAAAGGGTCAAAAAATGTTCAATCCTCGTCCAGTTTTTCGGATAATTAGCGTCTTTTTCGGATGATTTTCGACAAGGGCTATTCTCTGAGAACCCTGACGCGTTTCCTTGTTAAATCCCCCTCCCCCTCGATTCGTCCGCTCTATTTTTTCGGACCTAGGGGAGGGATAGTGGAAAAAATTTCGCAAAAATTTAGCCAAGAGAACAAGGGAACCTCGGCCTCGCAAAATGGGACAGGAAACCGTGCCGAGCTTACGCGCATCGTTGCTCTCTGCCTGCCCGACTCGGTCGCTTCATCCTTCTCTCTCCCTCTCTCCCTCCCTCCCACCCGTTTTATTCTTGCGGAATATTTTTCCCGTAGTTGCCGGTGCAAGTCGGGAAATCGATCGATGAGCCATCGGGTCCGCCTCCCCCCGGAAAATGGGAATTCCTTCCAATCCCCGGAAAACGGGGTTTTGCGTCGCTCCATTGTGACGACACCTTTACAAACTGTTCCGCGTTTCAAAGGACGCTGCGCGAGAGATCGCGTATACAGAGGAATATCGATGTCCTTGTCGGTTTTCGATTGTCGTGCGACCGATGCCTACATCCCCGCAAATGCTACCGATCGACCGCTCGAGCATCGGAATCGAGTATTCGCAAAGGACGCTCGCACCCCGCGCGAATAAACTTCCTCTATTTTGACTACTCCGCCATTGTTATTGCAGCCCTGACAATTATTCATCCCGAAATTCGATAGAAATTCTCCGAGTACGTAGACCTCGTCGTTAATCAGAAAGCAGTTTCTTTTCCGCTGCCATTATCGACTGCCTCAAAAGAAATTCCCTCGGAACTGCCTCCAAGAAAATTGAATAAATAGGAAAAATAATATGTGACGTCAGTCGGCGGGAATTTCTCAATTTTAATTCCCGATTAAATGGTTAACGAAAATGTGAAAATTCGAAAACAAAGACTGATCGCAAAGTGCCGCGGAGCCTTTAATGCGGCCTGTTTGTCGCTTAAAAAAAAAAGAGAACCTCCTGTCTCGTTAGCTGAACAAGTGCACTTTCTGCTTATTTAACCGGCTGCAGCGCGGCATTATTTTTTCGTTTTTACTTCGCCCCTGCCCTTGTCCTCGCTCCCATGCCGTTTGTTTGTTTTTTTTTTTTTCGCCCCTTTAGGATGAACGATTTACCACCACGAAGTAGCCGATACGCGTACCAGTTGCGCAGCTATTTTATCCCGATACTCGACACAGGTGACTACGTAACATCCCCTTGCAGAGTGCAATTTAACGTACGCTTCGGACCTGGATTTACATATTCGGGTATGTAGTGGCGGAGGCATATATTATACAAGTATTGGAATATACCACAAGCATCGTCGTTTACGTAGACGTTCTAAATCAGTCAGGGGTACACGATGTGTATACGGCATTGATACAATTGACACAATGCTACCGTGAGTCTTATCGATTGATGTTAGAGTACGTAGTGGGGACGAAAGTAACGCTTAACTTTTGAATTTTATCATAAAATTATTTTATATTGATTTTCAGGAAGGATACAATAAAATGTACCTACATCGAAGTGTTATGTATAAAACGTCAGGAGAACGGTGATAGTAGTAATATGTTATGATCGTGGAATTGTTTTGTGTTTATTCTTACATGCAAGAACGAGGTTGTCATGTATTAAATACTAATTGAATTGCACCGATTAACCAGATGAGCGATACGGATTTTATGGAAGGTACTTTTCTGGAACGCCTCGTTAAACTTGTGATTTTTTAGCAGAAAGTGAGGAAGGGAAATGATTATTTAATTAGGCAGCCCGATATCCCCCGTGATAATGGTTTCCGGATTGCGAATAAATTACGACAATCCGTATCGCCGGTCTCAAAACGATCATTAGGGAACGCAAAAGCGGAGATTTATGGAAAGCCAAGTTCGGGGACAACGTGGACTGGATTAAGCCATTTTAGGACCACAGCTAATTTGACATCAGGGTCCCCTGGTTTTCCTAACGACACTTCAGGACTCGGATATACAGTGAAAGTTTAGATATTGTCGGCAGGCTCTTTATTAGCATATATAATAGATCACGATGGCTCCATTAAATTTGGTAAAAAGTACCCCCTTTGGCAATATCGCCGGGGGTTGCATTTCCGCATTTTTACGACGAGAGTATCCTATAGCTTAAATTTTTAATAAATTAGCCACTCCCACGTATATGAAACATCAAAAAGGCCACTCTTGATCCCGGGAAAATAACACCACCCGAAAAAATTGATTTCTACTGGTATTAATTCTTCTTTTTTTTTTTAAATCGAGAAATAGATAGCGTAACGTTTGCCTCGAGTGCAAAAATGATTTCAGAGGTTCGAGAGATTTTGCATCGCTTTCCCTGTATCATTTTAATTCGTCGATGCGAGTTTCGACGTACCCTCATTACCGCGCCATTGTTCGTATAATGCGCCGCTACGTCGTCGCGGAAAGCTTGGAGCTTTTACGTAATTTGGAAAAAGCAAGGCCAGAGGTAAGCAAGATGCGTCGCGGAGTACAATATGTGTCTGGAGGGGAATTTGCGGTATCTCTCGGTCTCGATGTAGCCCGCTCGCTCTCGAGGCAGGTACACATAATACCGTCATATTTATTGTACGTACCTGATATGAGCACCAACACTATCCACATGATCCCCACCAGGCTCTTCATCATGTCATTGTGACGTCACGTCCGCCTCATTTCTCCTCGTCCTTCTGCCACCCTGATCCTTGCTCAATGCTCGCTTTCTGAAACAGAAAGTGCACCCTCGTCGAGAAAATTCCCACCATTTTAAGCCCCGTCCGGGAATTAATCCGAAATATCCCCACGCGGCCGAGTTGCAGACACTGCGCGCGAATATGCACCGGAGAGATGCACCAGGGATCGATTTCGCGATTAATCGCGGGGAGAAAAAAAAGAAAATAAAAAAATTTATTTTACGACCAGGGCATAAATGCGCACTCATTCGGCCGAATGTTTATACACTCTGGTTAATAATAAAAATTATGGTGGATTTTCCTAGGGCAAGGAATATACCGTTTGTTTAAAAGTGATGGATGATTTAAGAGAATTTAGTGCTCCTCGATGGCCGAAGTCGGACACGAGTTGGACGGAGATTTCAATCGCTGCCACTTATTAAAATTGAATATTCGGCAAGAAACCTCCGGGAAAGAAAAGAATGCCAATATTCGGTGACATGCAACCAAGAGCCAGCAACATGCCAGCACTCGGTAACTCCGGATGTGCATGCGTATGCATTTTTAATCCGGACACTGGGAAATGCAAATCCCGCGAAGGTGGTGTAGCTGAATTTCAGCAAAATGCGTGGAAAGATGTGGTTTCTAGGAAACTCTTTTTTTCTCTCTCTCTCTCTCTCTGTCTCTCTTTTAACGCGGTAATCTCCATACCCGTATACGTGCATGCACTGCTGAATTAAATTCATTTGTTGCTCGGCGCCTGTCAGACGTACGTAAATATTCCCGGACATCGTTTTAAAAAATCAGAATTTTTGCTCAATGGAACTCGAAAAGAATTGTTAAACAGTATCATGGTGCAGGGAGCATACATTATGTCCTGTGCTATTAATAATAAGCGATTCCATGATATTGATATTATCATTTGTTAAACAATTTTCGGCGGTATCGGACGAACGGATAATCCAACCGGTCGAATTGGATAATTCGCAGGTCAAATAACTTGACGCCGTCGATTACAACCAAGCGAAGCAAATAATTCTATTTGACGATGGAATGGCATACCTATAACTGTTTCATATTCGGATCGGATAATCGAATGATTTCGTTACTCGCACATCACCGGCACCCGGGCATTACATACCTTTACGTAATTATGCAATAATCCGGAATTGAGTTCGGAAAAATTCCCGGGGTGCGATAACCGGTCTAAGTTACTTACCGGGATCATAAATCGGAATATCGGGTGTGAACCGATTACCAGTTGCGAAATTCATTTGGAAGTGTCAAAGCATGTAACAAAAATGCAAGAGCCCGTCAACCGGGGGATGAAATTGTGACGCGAATCAATCTTAAGGAGATTTAAACTTTCCACCATTAATTCTCCAAGGGTTATTTCCGCTCCAATATGTTCAGTCGATAATCCTGAACCCGTCATAGCCTGCCAATAGTCAGTCTGGCCTGGATAATTATCTGTCACTATCGCTTAAGACTCCGAAATGTCTGACGAGCCTTCGAATACGTTTCCTAATCGCTCAATTTCGCGAGGATTACGAAACAGCGAGAGGATTAAGTAGGTCTTCTGGCGAAACAATCGCGAGATTCTCCGACTTCGGATGCGAACCAAAATGTAAAAGTTCTCCCATGAATGGAAAGTCCGCAAAATATTTCCATTCCACTACCTACATCGATCGTGTGGAAAAAGCCCCGTGATTTCACTTCTCCGCTTCCAATAGAACATTTTTACGTAACAGGGATTTTTATTACTGACACTTATCGTGAAACGAAGTGGACTGATTGTTACGAAATCGATTCCGCTGTATTCTGAAAGTGAAAACTCGAAATACAGAGTTCTCGCGTGACCGTCATCGCGTATCCCGTTTCTTCAATTATGAAATAATCTACACACGGTGAGGGCAATAGGAAAAAAAATTCCAACAACTTTGACAGTTATTAGTGGCCTTTCTGCCCATAAATATCGAAACGGCGAAATCCTTTTCCAAATTTCAAAGTTTCATCAATCCTCCCTCTTAGGGGTAAGGGTTGATAAGCCTCCTTAGAAGGAACTAATGTCTTTTCGATGTAAGGGCAGTGTTTCAAAGATCGAGATGTACATCGAGGCAGGGCTGAAGGTATAATTGAACACGGTGATCCATCAATTGGATTCTCATGATTTATTACATCCGACGTAAGACGGGTTCCATCCATCAGCTTTTCGCGATGCGAAGGTAATCGACGTCGCCTGGCCGACAAGTTGTCCCACTTCCCATATCGCCTCCACCTTTCACCAACTTTTCTGGTACAACAAAAGCAACTATGCCACAAAAGGGCACTCTTGTATTCTCCATATATCGCATGATAGAATGACACGAAAAATAGCTAGATTATTAAAAAAAATAGTAATAATAAAAAAAGAATCATGACATATCATGAAAAATGTGTGAAACTAACAATTTATCCGTTTTATTGGCGTAGTTTTTCCCTCGCATCTCGCCCGATCCCGAAGGAATCCGAGAGGCAAGAAACCCGAAGACAAGTTTTTTGTGCCCAGCGAGTTTCGAGTTTGGAAAGGCATCAACAAGTGTCGATCAGCTTTTTCCTCGATGGATAAACTTTAATGGATTCGCGAGAACGATATCGCCCTAACTCGAAGAACGTCCGACGGGACGCAAGAAAGGGTCAATTAAATTCGAAAGGAGTCGGGATGGATCTTTGTTCACGGGTAATTCAGGGGGCGCAAGCCCAAATTGGACGGCTAGGACAGGTGAGACGAGGAGATGCGAGCGTAAATTATTCGGAGAGCGAAAGGTAAACGAGAAGAAACGGCGATTCGGACTGGAGGAAACCGAACCTCGGGGAGTACTTCTCGGTCCCCGAGAGGGATCGATGGATCGATCGATCGATCGACAGGAAATGGCGGAGCTGTCTCCCCGAAGAAAGGCCCGAGTCTCCCTCGGATCTTCCAGAGAGCCTTGGAATTCCTGAATTTTCTCCTCCCCCGCCAGCGAGACTTCAACGAGAGGATAAGACAAGAGAGAGGAGAGATATTTAATTTTCCATAAATCGAACGAATTTCAGGACTCGCCTTTTCCGAGGAGGTTTCCGTCCCCGCGGCCCACGGGGACGGGACGGTTCCCATAGATACCGGCCTTCTCTCCCCCGTGATATTCAATTATCCTCCCGGAAAGAAGGAATTCGATGCCGACCTCGTCTTCACCCTCAAGGAGGATTTCCCTGCCGAGGAAACTCCCTCGTCATCCGCGATCCCGAATCGATAACTCGACGCGACCCTTTCGCGTCCAGGACGGGGCGCGCATACTGAAAGGGCCGCTGATGAGGCGGTCAGGGGACAAAAATTCCAGATGGCAAATAACTTGCGACTTCCTTGAATTATGCATCGCGGTGCCACTTCTGTTGGGAACACCTAGCAACCCGTGAATACGGCCCCGCAATTATAGGGCAAATGCCGAGCAGGGAAATTCACTCTACGCAAACTCTTACGGTGGGACATGTCACGCGTGACGGTATCCTTCGGACGGACAGCCGCGAGACTTCGTGATCGCCCTGAAAACGGGGGTAAAATAGTTAATAAATTTTCATTACCCCCGTCCAACCCCTAAGTACCACCGTAAGGCTGAACGCCCATAATGACGAGCCTCGAGGATAGTAATGCCCCGTTTAAAGGTTAATGAACCCGTTTAACGCCAAATTAGCAGGCCGTCGCCTTTTTCGCGTAGCCTCTTGTAAAAGTAGACGTCAAGAAGGTCGCATCATTTCCTGGCTGAGTGCAATTTGTTGCCATCGACGCGACTCGTATAGAGGCGACCCTCGCAAAAATAATCCACGTTAGGACCCTGGGTGTCAGGATTGTTACCGGAGGACGTAATTCTCGCATGATCGAACCGTGGCCTGATCACGATACGGGTTTTTATGACAGAACATAACCAGGTTTACGGCTTGCCGATGCGAAACCCTGCATTCGCCCCCCCCCGCGAAGATCCCACCAGGTGCGTATGTGCAATACGTACTCGATACGTACTCCGGGAGGTCCGTACAGGGCACATGCAGGAACTTGTATCGGCCATTAAATTGGATCGGACGCTTCATTATGCAAATTTGGACCAGCAGTGATGGTTTTCGGAAGGTCCTCGAGAATCTACGCTTGGAGGAATTATTGCCTATGGAGTGAGGCTCTATCTGGCCCCTGGAGATCGGATTAATAAAATCAATAAAATTGATAATGCCACGTTTAGTCCCTCTCCGGCCGAATTTTTCTGGAGCCTCTAGAAGAGCAAGGCCACCAATTTGAAGAATTTGGGGAAAAAATGTAGAATTTGACGGGATATTTTGGGGAAATAAATTCATTTGGCACTTCGTAGGGCGGAGACACGTAGGGAAAGTCAAGGTATAGGAGCCGAAGAAAGAGGCGAGAGAAGGTGAAATTCGCCGGTGTATGTAGGTCGCATCTCGCGGCTCGATATCGCCGAATACTCTTTGTGTTCTCTCTAAATTGGGTTAAGGAGGACTTTGAGAGTTTAGAATTTCGATCGGCACATTCGACAGTCGTATCAGCGTCTGAGCTCGTCCGGAAAAAAAGTGAGCAACGATCGAACTCGCTCGGGGAAGCCGACTCTCCGTGACGAAGTTTAATGGAGCGCGAAATAAATAAATAAGTAAATCGACGGTAAATAAATGCTCTATTGAGCGACACTAAAGTAAATGGATTGGATTTATTCAGGGTATATATTTCCGGAGAATAGGGGCTTCCTGTATTTATTATTTTGTTTAAGGGGAGGAGGTGTCGCTATTCAGCCTGCATAAAATAAATGAAACATCGCTCTATCCTGATTTGTCAATTCCGGAGCACCGGGCAAAAAAGGACGCGGAAATAACGCTAAGAAATTGCGACTGGCACGGTGAGCCTTTTGTCTCCGAGGATTCGCCTTGTTCGTTTTTCTGAATGCTTGATTTTCGCATGAGACAGAAAATCTGATTCCATGGAGCTCGCTGACAATATCCATTTGCATATGCTCACCCACCTAAATGGGTCATTC